TTCAAAACGATACGAGATTTTAGACTGCGGTTTCAAGCATTAGATCCCTTGAGGATTTTCAGTTCGACGAGAAGATTTTGAAACCGAAGACTCGATCCACTTAGTTTGGAGAGACCAAATTCTTGACAGTGTCATCTTTGGTTTGAAATGGGTTTTTTTTCAATTTCAGCGAGACCTAACGTCAAAACGACGTGAGATTCCGCATTTTGGTTTGAAGCATTCAATTCCTGGAGGCCTGCTCGTCCCGTGAGGCAATTTTTACACCGAAAGCTCGTTCTGTTTAGTTTGGGGACACGAAAACATATGGGGGTGTCACTTTTGGCTAAAAAAATTTCATTCCAAATTTCAACAAGACCTAACTTCAAAACGACAAAAGATTTGGAATTGCGGTTTGAAGCAGGTAATTCCTTGGAGCTTTCTGCACCCCTGAGCCAATCTTCAAACCAAAGACTTGATTCGTTTAGTTTGGAGAGACGAAATTATACAAGGTGTCATTTTTAAACAAAACTTTTTTTTCAATTTCAACGAGATCTAACTTCAAAACGACTCGAGACTTGGCACTGCGAATCCAAATATTCGATCCCTTGACACTTTCTAGTTCTACGAGAAGATTTTGATACCAAAGACTCGATTCAATTAGTTTGGAGAGACGAAATTTTCGACATTGTCATCTCCGGTTTGAAACAGGGTTTTTTTCAATTTCAACAAAACCTAACTTCAAAACAATCCAACATTCCGCATTGCGGTTGACAGCATTCGATTCGTCGAAGTTTTGTCGTCTTGTGGGAAAATTTTCAGGTCGTAATCTCGATCTGTTTAGTTTAGAGACACGCAAATAAGTGGAGGTGTCATTTTTGGCTTAAAAAGTTTGATTCTAAATTTCAACGAGACCTAACTTCAAAACGATAAAAGTTTGCTCATTATGGTTTGAAGCACTCGATTCGTTGAAGCTTTTTAATTCGGTGAAGCAATTTTGATGCCGGATAGTCGATCAGTTTAGTCTGGAGTGACGAAAATATGAAAAAGTGTAATTTTTAGTTTAAGAAAGATTTTTTTTCAAATTTAACAAGAGCTAACTTCAGAACGGTACGAAGTACTGCATTGCAGTTTGAAACATTCGATTCTCTTAAGCTTTGTAGTCCTGTAAACCAATCTTCACACCGACAGCTTAATCACTTTAGGTTGGAGAGACGAAATTATGAAAAAGTGCTATTTTTGAATAATTTTTTTTCAATTTCAACGACACCTAACTTCAAAACGATACGAGATTTAAGACTGCAGTTTCAAGCATTAGATCCCTTGAGGATTTTCAATTCGACGAGAAGATTTTCAAACCGAAAACTCAATCCACTTAGTTTGGAGAGACCAAATTCTTCACAGTGTCATCTTTGATTTGAAATAGGGTTTTTTTCAATTTCAGCGAGACCTAGCGTCAAAACGACGCGAGATTCCGCATTTCGGATTGAAGCATTCGATTCCTTGAGGTCTTCTTGTCTCGTGAGGCAATTTTTAGACCGAAAACTCGATCTGTTTAGTTTGGAGACACGAAAATATATGGAGGTGTCATTTTAGGTTTAAAAAATTTAATTCCAAACTTTAACGAAACCTAACTTCAAAATGACAAAAAACTTCGCATTTGAAGCAGTTAATTCCTTGGAGCTTTTTGCCTACGAAAGCCAATCTTCAAGCCAAAGCCTTGATTCGTTTAGTTTGGAGAGACGAAAATATAAAAAAGTGACATTTTTAGATTAAAAGTTTTTTTTTTAATTTCAACGATATCTGACTTCAAAACGACAAAAGATTTCGTGTTTTGCTTAAATCACTCGATTTCCTAAGGATTTATAATCCTGCAGGCCAATTTTCAGACCGAAAGCTCAATCCGTTTGGTTCGGAGAGCAGAAAATATAAGAAAGTGTCATTTTTGGTTTAAGAAAGTTTTTTTTTCAAATTTAAAAAGAGCTAACTTCAAAACGGGACGAGATACCGCATTGCAGTTTGAAGCATTTGATTCCGTTAAACTTTGTGGTTCCGCGAATCATTGTTCATACTGATAGCTTAATCAGTTTAGGTTGGTGAGACGAAAATATGAAAAAGTGTTATTTTTTGATAATTTTTTTTCAACTTCAACAAGACCTAACTTCAAAACGATACGAGATTTTAGACTGCGGTTTCAAGCATTAGATCCCTTGAGGATTTTCAGTTCGACGAGAAGATTTTGAAACCGAAGACTCGATCCACTTAGTTTGGAGAGACCAAATTCTTGACAGTGTCATCTTTGGTTTGAAATAGGGTTTTTTTCAATTTCAGCGAGACCTAGCGTCAAAACGACGCGAGATTCCGCATTTCGGTTTGAAGCATTCAATTCCTGGAGGTCTGCTCGTCCCGTGAGGCAATTTTTACACCGAAAGCTCGTTCTGTTTAGTTTGGGGACGCGAAAACATATGGGGGTGTCACTTTTGGTTTAAAAAATTTCATTCCAAATTTCAACAAGACCTAACTTCAAAACGACAAAAGATTTGGAATTGCGGTTTGAAGCAGGTAATTCCTTGGAGCTTTCTGCACCCCTGAGCCAATCTTCAAACCAAAGACTTGATTGGTTTAGTTTGGAGAGACGAAATTATACAAGGTGTCATTTTTAAACAAAACTTTTTTTTCAATTTCAACGAGATCTAACTTCAAAACGACTCGAGACTTGGCACTGCGAATCCAAATATTCGATCCCTTGACACTTTCTAGTTCTACGAGAAGATTTTGATACCAAAGACTCGAATGAATTAGTTTGGAGAGACGAAATTTTCGACATTGTCATCTCCGGTTTGAAACAGGGTTTTTTTCAATTTCAACAAAACCTAACTTCAAAACAATCCAACATTCCGCATTGCGGTTGACAGCATTCGATTCGTCGAAGTTTTGTCGTCTTGTGGGAAAATTTTCAGGTCGTAATCTCGATCTGTTTAGTTTAGAGACACGCAAATAAGTGGAGGTGTCATTTTTGGCTTAAAAAGTTTGATTCTAAATTTCAACGAGACCTAACTTCAAAACGATAAAAGTTTGCTCATTATGGTTTAAAGCACTCGATTCGTTGAAGCTTTTTGATACGGTGAAGCAATTTTGATGCCGGATAGTCGATCCGTTTAGTTTGGAGTGACGAAAATATGAAAAAGTGTCATTTTTAGTCTAAGAAAGAGATTTTTTCAAATTTAACAAGAGCTAACTTCAGAACGGTACGAAGTACTGCATTGCAGTTTGAAACATTCGATTCTCTTAAGCTTTGTAGTTCTGTAAACCAATGTTCATACCGATAGCTTAATCAGTTTAGGTTGCAGAGACGAAAATATGAAAAGGTGTTATTTTATGATAATTTTTTTTTCAATTTCAACGAGACCTAACTTCAAAACGATACGAGATTTTAGACTGCGGTTTCAAGCATTAGATCCCTTGAGGATTTTCAGTTCGACGAGAAGATTTTCAAACCGAAGACTCGATCCACTTAGTTTGGAGAGACGAAATTCTGTACAGTGTCATCTTCGGTTTGAAATGGGGTTTTTTGAAATTCAGCGAGACCTAACTTCAAAACGACGCGAGATTCCGCATTTCGGTTTGAAGCATTCGATTCCTTGAGCTCTTCTCGTCTCGTGAACCAATTTTTAGACGGGAAACTCGATCTGTTTAGTTTGGAGACACGAAAATATATGGAGGTGTCATTTTTGGTTTAAGAAGTTTAATTCCAAACTTCAACGAGATCTAACTTCAAAATGACAAAAGATTTCGAATTGCGGTTTGAAGTAGTTAATTCCTTGGAGCTTTTTGCCTTCGGAAGCCAATCTTCAAGCCAAAATCTTGATTCGTTTAATTTGGAGCGACGAAAATATAAAAAAGTGCCATTTTTAGTTTAAGAAAGTTTTTTTCAAATTTAACAAGAGCTAACTTCAGAACAGTACTAAATTACAAATTGCGGTTTGAAACATTCGATTTCCTGAAGTCCCGTCATCCCGCAAATCAATCTTCAGACAGATAACTTAATCCGTTTAGTTTGGAGAGACGAAATTATACAAAGGTGTCATTTTTAAACAAAACTTTTGTTTCAATTTCAATGAGATCTGACTTCAAAACGACACGAGATTTGGCACTGCCAATCCAAATATTAGATCCCTTGACACTTTCTAGTTCTACGAGAAGATTTTGATACCAAAGACTCGATCCAATTAGTTTGGAGAGACGAAATTTTCGACATTGTCATCTCCGGTTTGAAACAGGGTTTTTTTCAATTTCAACAAAACCTAACTTCAAAACAATCCAACATTCCGCATTGCGGTTGACAGCATTCGATTCGTCGAAGTTTTGTCGTCTTGTGGGAAAATTTTCAGGTCGTAATCTCGATCTGTTTAGTTTAGAGACACGCAAATAAGTGGAGGTGTCATTTTTGGCTTAAAAAGTTTGATTCTAAATTTCAACGAGACCTAACTTCAAAACGATAAAAGTTTGCTCATTATGGTTTTAAGCACTCGATTCGTTGAAGCTTTTTGATTCGGTGAAGCACTTTTGATACCGGATAGTCGATCCGTTTAGTTTGGAGTGACGAAAATATGAAAAAGTGTAATTTTTAGTTTAAGAAAGAGATTTTTTTCAAATTTAACAAGAGCTAACTTCAAAACGGTACGAAGTACCGCATTGCAGTTTGAAACATTCGATTCTCTTAAGCTTTGTAGTCCTGTAAACCAATCTTCACACCGACAGCTTAATCACTTTAGGTTGGAGAGACGAAATTATGAAAAAGTGCTATTTTTGGATAATTTTTTTTTCAATTTCAACGATACCTAACTTCAAAACGATAGGAGATTTAAGACTGCGGTTTGAAGCATTCGATTTCTTGAAGCTTTCTGGTCGCATGGACCAATCTTCAAACCATAAACCCGATTCGTTTAGTTTGGAGAGACGAAAATATTGGAAGGTGTAATTTTTAGGTTAACACTTTTTTTTTCAATTGGGGTGAAAATTACCTGAATAGCAGCATCAGCCCCTGGATGAACGTCCTGAAGTTGTTATGGCGAGTGATGGCCTCGCTGGGTATTTCCGCAATATTTCCAAACACCTTCAAAAATCATCAGTAAACAACTCTTCATTAAAAAAAAATAATAAAAAATACCTGCATCCCGATGATTGCGTAGATAAAAAACAGCATGGCGATAAGAAGACAGACGTAAGGAAGAGCTTTAAAACTCTGGACGAACGTCCAAAGCAGGATTCGTATGGTATATCCCTGACGTAACAGTTTGATCAGACGAGCGGCTCGAAATAATCGCAAGAATCCGACGTTGATGAAGTTTTCCTGAAATGCGACACGAATTAAAATCGGGCTTGTTTTTCCGAGAGGACGATGATTCGGTTTTTAGTTTGAGTACGCTACGACACTACTCTGAGCATTAAACTAATCTAACTACTAAGTTCTACGGAATGTTATGTAGTGGAAACGTAATATGTAGTTTGTTTGTGTTTGTTTTTGTTATGTCGTGTGTTATACTTACCGAAATCAACACTAATTTATCTTCTTAATTTAATCTAGTGACTAGTGAGAATACAAGAAACTACATCTTACTGATGCCAGAAAACATGCATGGTGAAGGTGCTCAGAACAACGTACAAAAATTTAGAGATTTTAATAAGTTGGGGGTTTGAGTCTTATTAAAATCTTCAAATGTATACCTGGATCCACTTTACGATGCTATCAAAGGTACCTAACTTTGCTCCAGATTTTCGAGACTACAAAAAGGAATAGGTTAAAGCAAATCTAGTGAAACGACTAAATTATCATTAATCTAACCTTCGTTATATTGCAAGGATTGTGGTCACAACAGCCCGACTATTTTAATTCTTTCATTAAAAAAAAAAAAAAAAAAACAAAAAAAATCGGACTGTCGTGCCCGTGCATAATAAGATATTCTAAAACTCGTCTTTACAATCTATCAATTTAGTCTAACACCCTAGCGTTACAATCTCTTCTAAACATTTATCTTAATTATCTCATCAAAATATAAAAAATGCACACGCACGTACCCTCTCTTTCGCTATTTTGGCTGCCCTTTCCTTGAATTGAAGAAAAACATTTTAGTATATGGTTAAATCATGTGCAAAAACACATTCAGTGCAAAAGTGCATAAATCGGAATGTTCTCTATACCTTTGACGAAGACTGAGGTGTGTAAACTGTGTAAACTGTTTGTCAAGTTTGTTAATTTTGTTCATTTTGATAATTTTTAGGGTGAGTTAAACCTGAACTTACGCCAAATTCCACCACCATGGCGTCCACGATGCTCCCGATCACAGTTATGAAGTCGAACGTGTTCCATGGGTCCTTGAAGAAGTTCTAGGAAAGACAGAGGGTTAGTAAGTTTGAAGTGGTGGGGTAGGGCCACGTCTTGGTGAGATGTGGCTCTGTTGATGAAGTAAATCAAAAAGAACGAGGTTGAAGAAGAAAATTTGGGGTTGTTTACTGTGCGCACGTTGGTTGGTATAGGGTGATTGGAGACGATTGAATTTTGAGCTGGTTTTGAAAATTTTGGTTGCTAGTTTATAAATAGGGTATTGTTGGTTGCCTACTCATTAAACACTTTTTATGATTTTATTTCTGTAAATTTGAATATTGTTGTTTTAATTAATTTTATTTGTATTGCATGATTGAGCTTATTTTATCAGCACGGATTTTTGAATTTTTAAAGATTCAAACATTTTTTCCAATTTTAAATTATTGGATTTTTCAACTTTGGTTTTTTAATTTTTTTGTTTTCGTTTCTTCAGTTACCGATTTTTTTTTCGTTTGAATTCTTGATTTTTTTTAATTTCTTCAGTTTTTCGAGTTTCTTCAATGTCTTGAGTTTTCAAGATTCAGTTTTTCGAATTTTTACCTTCTGAATTTTTAATTTCGTGAAATTTTTAAAATTTTGATTTTTCAAAATTTAATTTTTTTATTTTTTGATTTCTTCAATTTTCAAATTTTTCAATTTTTCGAGTTTTCTGGCTTAAATTTTTCGATTTTTCAACTTTTCTTTTTTCTAATTACAAATTTTCTGGTTTTCAATTTCAAATTTTTAGATTTTCAATTTTTACATTTTGTTTCTTTGATTTTGACCTTTTGAATGTTTTGATTTTTAAATTTTTGGATCTGTTTTTAATTTTTCGATTTTTGAATTTTTTCTAGATTTCAGTTTCAAATTTTTAGATTTTCAATTTTTGAAGATTTAAATTTTTTCATTTGTTTCTTCAATTTCTAAATTTTTAATTTTTGTATTATTCAGCATTTTTAGAATTAAAATTTTTCTAGATTTCAGTTCCATTTTTTTTAATTTTTGAATATTTTGATTTTGCAGTTTTCATTTCTTTTTCGATCTTTTACTTTAGGTTTCTTCAAATTTTCGAGTTTTCAAGTGTAAATTTTTCAGTTTTTTGATTTTTCAGTTTTTGAATTTTTTTATTTCTTAATTTTTCATTTCTTCAATTTTCAGAATTTTCGATTTTTCTTTTTTTCAACTTTTGAATATTTTTTTTATTTTTATTTTTCAGTTTTCTTTAATTGTTCGATTTACAATTTTTCCAGTTTTCAATTTCAAATTTTTCTACTTTTCAACTTTGAATTTTTTGATTTTTTATATTTCGATTCTACAGTTTTTCGAGTTTTTTCGATTTCTTCAGTTTTCAAGTTTAAATTTTTCAATTTTTCGAATTTTTAACTTTTGAATGTTTTGATCTTTTAATTTATATTTTTTTCGGTCCAATTTTTCAATTTTTCCATATTTTAGTTTTCTTTTTCTTCAATTCTTCGATTTTCCGGTTTAAATTTTTAAATTTTTTGATTTCGCAACTTTTCATTTTTAATTTTTTTTATTTCTTTAAATTTCTGATTTTTCAATTTTTCGAAGTTCCTATTTTTCGTTTCTTCGTTGAATTTTCTTATTCTTTAATTTTTCATTTCTTCAATTTTCAGATTTTTCGATTTTTCTTTTTTTCACTTTATACTTTCTTCAATTTTTCAATTTTCCAACTTTCGAATATTTTCATTTCTTATTCCTTTTATTTTTCAGTTTTTTGTAATTGTTCGATTTACAATTTTTCCAGTTAACAAATTTCAATTTTTTAAATTTTCGGGGTTTGAACTTTTGGATTTTTAGTTTCTCGTTTATCATTTTTTTGATTTTTCAGTTTTTTGGATCTTTCGATTTATTATTTCTATGATTTTTAGATTTACAATTTTTCTAGATATCAGTGCCAAGATTTTGTATTTTTCAACTATTGAATATTTCGATTTTCCAACTTTTGTTTTTGATTTTTTAATTTTTGATTTTTCACTTTTTGATTTTTGAATTTTTAAATTTTCATTTTCCACTTTGTTTCTTCAATTTTTCAATTTTACAACTTTTGAATGTTTTTATTTTTCAATTTTTTTATTTTCCAGTTTTTTTCCAATTTACAATTTTTCCAGTCATCAATCAATTTTTTTAATTTTTCATTTTTTCAATTTTTCGATTTTTCACTTTTTTGTGGCTTCAATTTTTCGAGTTTTGAAGTTAAAATTTTTTTCAATTTTAATTCTTTTAATCATTAAAATGTTAAATTTTCCGACTTACAAGATCAAATTTTTTAATATTTTGATTCTTCAACTTTCAAATTTTTTTGTTTTTTATTTTTCCTCAATTTTCAGTTTTTTTGACTTTTCGATTTTTCACTCTCTTGTTTCTTCAGTTTACGTTTTCCAACTTTTAAATGTTTTGACTTTTTAATTTTTGAATCTTTCGTCTCTTTGTTTCTTTAATTTTTGTATCAACAATTTTTCTGGTTCTTCAGTTTAAAAATCTTGTACTTTAAAATTTTTTGAATATTGAATTTCCAAATTTTTATTTTTCAAATTCGATTCTTCAATTTTTGTTTATTTTTTTTTTTCTTCAATTTTTTGTTTTTCAGATTTTAAATTTTTCAGTTTTTAGTTTTTTCAGTTTGCCGATTTGCAATTTTTCGAGTTTTCATTTTTAATTTTTTGATCTTTCAAATTTTAAAATTTTCGACTTTTCAAGATCAAATTTTTTAAATTGATTTTTTAATTTTAATTTTTGGATCTTTGTTTTCAGTTCTTTGTTTGTTTAATATTTTTAGATTTACAATTTTTCTAGAATTCAGTTTTTAAATATTTTGATTTTGCAATTCTTCATTTCTTCTGTTTTCAGGTTTTTCAAATTTTCGAGTTTCAAGTATTGTTTTTTTAATTTTTTGATTTTTCAGTTTTTGAATTTTTGAATTTTGAATTTTTCATTTCTTCAATTTTCAAATTTTTCAATTTTTCAGTTTTTTTGTTCGATTTACAATGTTTCCAATTTTCAATTTAATTTTTTAAATTTTCCGATTTTGAACTTCTGGATTTTCAAAATTTTTCGTTTCTTAATTTTTAAAATTTTTCAATTTCTTGTTTCTTTAATTTTTAGATTTACAATAGGTTTCAGTTCCAAAATTTGGTATTTTCAATTATTGAATATTTTAATTTTATAATTTTTCATTTTTTCAATTTTCAAATGTTCGATTTTTCAACTTTCGTTTGCTTGATTTTTTAATTTTTCGTCTCTTTAGTTTTTCGATTTTTCAGTTTCTTGTGCTTCAATTTTTCGAATTTTGAAGTTAAAATTTTTCTATTTTTCTATTCTTGAATTTTTAAATAACGAATTTTTTCAACATTGTATATTTTTGATTTTTTATTTTTCGATTCTTCAGTTTGCAATTATTCGAGTTTTCAATTTTAGTTTTTTTAAACTTACAAAGTTTCAATTTATCTAGAATTCAGTTCCAAAATTTTGTATTTTGAAATTTTTGATTATTTTGATTTTGTAAATTTTCTTCACTTTTCAAATTTTAAAATGTTCGATTTTTCAGTTGTTTTTCTTCAATTTTCGAGATTGCAAGTTTAAATTCTCGATTTTCCAACTTCTGTTTTTGATTTTTAATTTTTTGTTTCTTCAATTTTTCGATGATCTTCCAGTTTTTTGTTTCTTCAAATTTTCGAGTTTTCAAGTGCTTATTTTTTTTGAATTTTATTTTTTAATTTTTCGTTTCTTCAATTTTCAAATTTTTCAATTCTCCAAGATTTGAATGCTTTTATTTTTTAATTTTTGTTTTTCAGTTTTTTTTATTGTTCGATTTACAATTTTTCCAGTTTTCAATTTCATTTTTTTAATTTTCAGATTTTGAACTTTTGGCTTATTTAAATTTTCGATTCTTCATTTTTTAGATTTTTCAATTGTTTTAGATCTTTCTTGCTTCTTTAATTGTTAGATTTACAATTTTTATAGATTTCAGTTCCAAAATTTTGTATCTTTGAAATTTTGTTTTCTTGATTTTTAATTTTCGTTTCTTCAATTTTTCGATTTATCAGTTTCTTCTTACTTCAATTTACTAATTTACAATTTTTTCAACTTTCAAATTTGTTAATTTTATACTTCTTCAATTTTCAAATTTTTTTTACTTTTCGATTTTTGTTTTTTTTTTATTTTTCAGTTCTTAGTTACTTCAGTTGATCGGTTTTCAATTTTAATTTTTTGGTCTTTCAGATTTTAAATTTTTTAGTTTCCTTAAGTTTTAAGATTTTTCAATTTTTCAGATGTTCGATTTTTCTTCGTTTCTTGAATTTTTCGATCTTTCCAGTTTCAAAGTTTTCAGTTTTACAATTTTTTAATTTCTCAATTTCACAATAATTTGATTTCAATTTAAATTACTAGATTTAAAATTTTCAATTTTTCAAATTTTGCTTTTTCAAAAATGTAAGTTAAAATTGAAAATTCCAAAAAACAAAATTGAAAACTTCGAAATCGTGAAACCAAAAACTGAACACCTCAAAAATTAAAAAATCGGTGACTTGTTATTAAAAATTAAGAAAAATCAACAATATTCGAATTTGCTCGTTTAAATTTACCGCCGATATTCTTTCTTATGATTGGCCGACACAACTTAATAGTAAAATGCGTGCGCACAGTAAACAAAAACCAAAATGTTGATTAAAAATTTCATCTGTCTAATCTATAGTTCACGTTGCGATTACAAACCAGAATTGAAACCGTTATAAGCAAATCGTAATACCAACGTGCGAGTGTAAAATTAACTAGCACTTTTTATCTAGTAATTATAGGTTTTAATCTACTCTGTTTCGGTAGAGGTGGGAGTAGGAAAGTCTAAAAGAATCTAGAACCTACACAGAATGGATTCTCGTTTAAAAAGTATTTTTGGTTAATAATTGGAAAATTGGAACAAAGTAAATATTGTTTTGTAAAATTAAAAAAAAATCTAAAAGATGTGTGCAACTTCTAACTAATTTTGATACTAGAAATTTGTACTAAAAAAACTAGAAACTAAAGTGGTTGTGGGGATGATCTGGAGTAGGAGAGGACGGTTTTTGAATGACCTCGGACCATGCTTCTAGTATTTTAAGCAAATGACTGATTTCTCGTCTATGGGAAATAGTGTTTCGAAAAAATCTACGCTTCTAACTACTTCTGGCCCAAACTACCTACATCTGGAGGTATAAAAAGTGCACAAATTCGAATAGTCCTAAGCTACCCAACTCTACGTGCCAATAGTAAGTAAATCCAACCCAACGTATACCTAAAATCGTGATCGTAGAAAAAAAGTGAAAAAGATTACCTTGATGCCGAAAGCGATGAGCTTGAGAACAGTCTCACAAAGGAAGAGGAAGGTAAATAGAATATTCATTGCTGCCAGGATGTCGGACAACAAGGGCGGTGACTCGTGGTACTACAACAACTTACAAAATGTAGCAGCTACTCTACAAGCAAAACGCCTACCTGTAGTACAGGTTAAAAGTCGGCAGAGCGATTTATCTCTCCTCTAAACCACAAAATTTAAACCCCGGTCAGACCCCGACTCATCGAAATCTGACCGAGCCGTGCTTCGAATTAGAATTTCGTCGCCATCGGGATCTTCTCCTTCGTGTAGTGTGTATCTCGTGTGACCTGCATGCAGCTAAGACAGACGGACATGCAGACGAACGGCAAGCAGTGAGTGTCAGCAGCAGGGAGCGATCGGGAAGGAGGAGGACTTGTTCCGTTATTTTTTTTTTAATTTCGTTTGTTCTTAGACAGAGAAAAAGAAAAAGCCGGCTCTTAGAGGCTATTTCTTACCCGGACGCCGTAGGCAAGGATCTTGAGGATGCACTCCACCGTGAACATGCCCGTAAAGCCCCAATTGAGGTACTTAAGCGTTTTCGTGTGGAGTTCGCTTTGCTGGTCAAACTGTTAAAACATATACGACACGTGGACAGACTTTGCAGAAAAGAAATCTACAGCTACGGGTATTAAGTATCTAGGTTAGTTTTAGGAAGGCTCGGCTGGTTTTGGTTGAACCGAAACTTCCTAAGACTTTTGTTGGTAGTTTGAGGCTCCTAGAAGTGAGCTCAGTACGTGTAAACACCAAACACCACATCAAATATGTACACCGGTTTTCTACACCTCGGGCGACTAAGAAGGTCCAAAGAAAGCGCCGAAGGGCGCTTTGTTTGGGTCGGTTTAGAATGACGTCGGATGGGGACTGGTTGGGCGCGTGGACCGGGTAGGGTGCGAGGGATTCTCGCCTCTAGTGTTGTATGGAGGTTGATCAATGTTTTGCTTTTTTCCTTCTTGAGGGAGGGTTTGGAAAGAAATCGCATTTAACAAATTTCTGGTAAACCTTTTCAATAAAATTTATATTAATTTGGTGAAAAAGTAGAGCCTACTATTATAGTTAAATCCGTACCTGATACAAGTTAAGCTTAAACCGTGTTTATGTATTATTGGTTGCCTACACAACATTGTTGTCGGGTCAGGTAGATTCTAAAAATGTTTGTTTTGAATTTTTGAGTTTTCAACTTTTGAAAATTTTGTTTTTATAATTTGCTGTTTTTTTGGTTTTTTGATTTTTCGATTTTGGGATCATCAGGTTTTCTACTTTTCAACTTTTGAATTTTTAGATTTTTAAATTTTCTGTTTCTTCAATGTTTGCAGTTTCAAGTATCAATGTTCAATATTTGAGTTTTTGGTTTTTTTTAATTTTATCATTTCTTAAATTTTCAGTTTTTTAACTTTACTGTTTTTCAGTTTTTATTTATTGTTTCTTAAACTTTTCAAATTTTCAGGTTAAAATTTTTCAATTTTTTGATTTTTCCACTTTTGATTTTTTTTCTTTTTTCAATTATTAAAATTCAATTTTTAGATCCTTGATTTTTTGTTTCTTCAGTTTTTCGAATTTCAATTTCGAATGTTTCTGTTTTTCGACTTTTGAATTTTTAAATTTTTCCTTCGTCAATTTCTAATGTTTCTTTAGTTTTTTAAGGTTTCAAGTAAAATTTTTTCATTTTTCAATTTTTAATTGCCTGAGTTTTCGTTCCTTTTTCGTTTCTTCAATTTTTGGAGTCGTCAGTTTCATTTTTTTTTAAACCTTGGATTTTTTGATATTTGTTTCGCGTTTATACAATTTTTTATACTCTTTTTTTTATTTTTTTGCTTCGATTAATAATTTTAGTTGATTCTAGTTTTCAATTTGAAATGTTTTGATTTTTCCATTAAACTATTCAATTTTTCGGTTTTCCAACTTTTGGATTTTTTGATTTCGTACTTTTTCTTTCCAATTTTCAGATTTTCCAATTTTTCGTTTTTCAATTTTTGGATGTGTTAGTTTTGTGTTTCAATTATTATAAGTTTACAGCTTTAAACTTTTAATTTTTTCAGTTTTTCGTTTTTTTTTAATTTCCCGATTTGAAATTATTTGAGTTTTTAATTTAAATTTTTCCAATTTTCAATTTCATTTTTTTTTTAATTTTTTAATTTTCGTTTCTTCAGATTTTAGAGTTTCATTTTTTCGATTTTTCAAGTTCAGATTTTTCAATTCTTCGATTTTCAACTTTAGAGTTCTTTGATTTTTTAATTTTTCTTTCTTCAGATTTTAGAGTATCTTCAAATTTCAATGTTTGAAGTTTACATTTTTATTATTTTTTTATTTTTCAAGTTTTTAATTTTTTTATTTTTTAATTTGTCATTTCTTCAGTTTTCAAATTTTTAAATTTTTTGTTTCTTCAATTTTTCGAGATTTCAGATTTAAATTTCACAATTTTTCGATTTTTCAAATTTTTAATTTTTATTTAAATTTTTTAATTTTTCAATTTTCAGATTTTTCAGTTTTTTGTTTCAATTATTCGAATTTGTGTCTAGTTTTTCGAGTTTAAATTTTTTCAATTCTCAACTTTAGAATTCGTTGATTTTTTAATTTTCCTTTCTTCAGATTTTAGAATCTCTTTAGTTTTCGGAATTTCCATGTACAAATTTTTAATTTTTTGACTTTTCAATTTCAATTTTTCTACTTTTCAACTTTCAAGTTTTCTGATTTGGTATTTTCGTTTCTTCAGATTTTTGAATATCTTTAATTTTCAAGTTTACAATTTTAAATTTTTTATTTTTCTAGTTTTCAATTTTTGTTTTTTAATTTGTTGTTCGTTCACTTTTAAAATTATTAGATTTTTCGAAATTTTACTTTTTTGTTTTTTCAATTTTAGAAATTTCAGGTTCAAGTTTATGAATTTTTGGATTTTTCGAGTTTAAAATTTTCAATTCTTCGATTTTTCAATTTTTGAATTTTTGTTATTTTCATTTTTAGTTTCTTAATTTTCAGATTTTTCAATTTTTCAAACTTACAGTTTTTTGTTTCAATTATTCGAGTTTTCGGCTATAAATTTTCTATTTTTTAGTTTTTCAGGTTTTGAATATTTCGATTTTATAATTTTTCATTTTTTCACTTTTTAAATTTTTCAATTTTTGATCATCTAATTTTCAATTTTTCAATTTTCAAATTTTTCCATTTTTCGATATTTCAGGTTATTGGTTTTTGAATATTTCGATTTTATAATTCTTCATTTCTTCACTTTTTTAGATTTTTCAATTTTTGAATCTTTCAGTTTTTGTGTCTTTCAGTTTTTGTGTCTTTCATTTTTCGAGTTTTTAGTTTATTACAATTTTCCAATTTTCAACTTTAGAATTTTTTGAATTTTTAATTTTCCTTTCTTCAAATTTTAGAGTTGTTTCAGTTTTTCGAAATTCCAAGTACAAATTTTTAATTTTTTGATTTTTCAATGTAAATTTTTCCAGTTTTCAACTTTCGAGTTTGATTACTTATTTACATTTAAAATTTTTTTATTGTTCAAGTTTTTAATTTTTTGATTCTTTAATTTGTCGTTTCTTCAGTTTTAAAATTTTTCAATTTTTCGAAATTTGATATTTTTGTTTCTTCAATTGTTAGAGATTTCAGATTTAAATTTCTCAGTTTTTCGATCTTTCAAGTTCAAATTTTTTAATTCTTCGATTTTTCAAGTTTTGAATTTTTCTTATTTTAATTTTTAATTTCTTCAATTTTCAGACTTTTCAGTTTTTCAAACTTTCAGTTTTTGGTTTCAATTATTCGAGTCTTCGGGTTTAAGTTTTCAATTTTTATAATTTTTCATTTCTTCACTTTTTAGATTTTTCAATTTTTGGATCTTTTTATGTTTTCGTATCTTTAATTTTTCGATTTACAATTTTTCGAGCTTTCAGTTTCCATTTTTTCAACTTTGGAATTTTATTTTCGTTTCTTCAGATTTTAGAGTTTTTCGAGTTTATTGAATTTTCAAATACAAATTTTTAATTTTTTTAATTTCCAATTTCAATTTTTCCAGTTTTCAACTTTTGAGATTTTAGATTTTTTTATTTTTCAGATTTTTGAGTATTTTTTTAATTTTTCAAAGTTTCAATTTGTTAATTCTTCAGTTTTAAAATTTTTCAATTTTTCAAAATTTAATTTTTTGTTTCTACTTCAATTTATAGAGATTTCAGATTTAAATTTCTCAACTTTTAGATTTTCAACTTTTAAATTTTTGTTATTATAATTTTTAATTTCTTCAATTTTCAGACTTTTCAGTTTTTCAAACTATCAGTTTTTGTGTCTGTAATTTTTCGATTTACAATTTTTAGAGCTTTAGTTTCCATTTTTCCAATTTTCAACTTTAGAATTTTATTTTTTAATTTTCGTTGCTTCAGATTTTAGTTTCTTTCCGAGTATTTTTTTTATTTTTCAAGTTTTTAATTTGTCATTTCTTCAGTACTCAAATTTTTCAATTTTTGCTTTCAATTGATGTTTTTTTTTAATTTTTCGAATTTTCAGATTTAAATATTTCATTTTCCCGACTTTTATATTTTTCAATATTATTAGACCTTTCAGTCTTTTGATTTTTTAATTTTTCGAGTCTTCAGATTTGAATATTTATTTTTTTCAATTTTTAGATTTTTCAAGTCTTTCGTTTTTTTTTAATTTTTCGATTTACAACTTATCGAGTTTTAAATTTCATTTTTCCAGTTTTCAATTTAGGAATTTTTTTTATTTTTAATTTTCGTTTCTTCAAAGTTTCGAGTTTCAGGTTTAAATTTTTCAATTTTTTTGGTTCTACTTGAATTTTTAGAGATTTCAGATTTAAATTTCTCAAATTTTTCGAATTTTCAAGTTCAAATATTTCAATTTTTCGATTTTCAACTTCTGAATTTTTGTTATTTTAATTTTTAATTTCTTCAATTTTCAGACTTTTCAGTTTTTTGTTTCCATTATTCGAGTTTTCGGCTTTGAATTTTCAATTTTCATAATTTTTCATTTCTTCGCTTTTTAGATTTTTCAGTTTTTGTGTCTCTAATTTTTCGATTTACAATTTTTAGAGCTTTAGTTTCCATTTTTCCAATTTCCAACTTTATAATTTTATTTTTTAATTTTCGTTGCTTCAGATCTTAGAGTTTCTTGAGTTTTTTGAATTTTCAAACACAAATTTTTAATTTTTCGATTTCCAAGTTACAATTTTTCGGGTTTTTTGATTTTTTTATTTTCGTTTCCACAGATTTTCGAGTATTTTTTTTATTTTTCAAGTTTTTAATTTGTCATTTCTTCAGCACTCAATTTTTTCATTTTTTGCTTTCAATCGATGTTTTTTTAATGTTTCGAATTTTCAGATTTAAATATTTCATTTTCTCGACTTTTAGATTTTTCAATTATTAGATCTTTGAGTCTTTCGATTTTATAATTTTTAATTTTTTCACTTTTTAAATTTTTCAATTTTTGGATCTTTTAATTTTTGTGTCTTTAATTTTTCAATTTACAATTTTCCGACATTTCAATTACAATTTTTCCATTTTTCAACTTTTGAATGTTTGATTTTCAAACTTCTGAACTTTTCAATTTTTGATCATCTATTTTCATTGTTTCAATTTTCAAATTTTTCCATTTTTCGATATTTCAGGTTATTGGTTTTTGAATATTTTTATTTTATAATTTTTCATTTCTTCACTTTTTAGATTTTTCAATTTTTGAATCTTTCAGTTTTTGTGTCTTTAATTTTTCGATTTACAATTTTTCGAGCTTTTAATTTCCACTTTTACAATTTTCAACTTTGGAATTTTATTTTCGTTTCTTCAGATTTTTGAGTATTTTTTTAATTTTTCAAAATTTCATTTTTTTGTTTCTACTTCAATTTTTAGAGATTTCAGATTTAAATTTCTCAATTTTTCGATTTTTCAAGTTCAAATATTTCAATTCTTCGATTTTCAACTTTTGAATTTTTGTTATTTTAATTTTTAGTTTCTTCAATTTTCAGACTTTTCAGTTTTTTGTTTCAATTATTCGAGTTTTCGGCTTTGAATTTTCAATTTTTGTAATTTTTCATTTCTTTACTTTTTAGATTTTTCAGTTTTTGTGTCTCTAATTTTTCGATTTACAATTTTTGAAGCTTTTAGTTTCCATTTTTCCAATTTCCAACTTTAGAATTTTATTTTTTAATTTTTGTTGCTTCAGATTTTAGTTTCTTTTCGAGTATTTTTTTTATTTTTCAAGTTTTAAATTTGTCATTTCGTCAGTACTCAAATTTTTCAATTTTTGCTTTCAATCGATGTTTTTTTTTTAATTTATCGAATTTTCAGATTTAAATATTTCATTTTCTCGATTTTTATATTTTTCAATTATTAGATCTTTCAGTCTTTTGATTTTTTAATTTTTCGAGTCTTTCGTTTTTTTTTTAATTTTTCGATTTACAACTTTTCGAGTTCTAATTTCATTTTTCCAGTTTTCAATTTAGGAATTTTTTTATTTTTAATTATCGTTTCTTCAAATTTTCGAGTTTCAGGTTTAAATTTTTCTATTTTTTTGTTTCTACTTGAATTTTAGAGATTTCAGATTTAAATTTCTCAAATTTTTCGAATTTTCAAGTTCAAATATTTCAATTCTTCGATTTTCAACATGTGAATTTTTGTTATTTTAATTTTTATTTTCTTCCATTTTCAAAGTTTTCAGTTTTTTGTTTCAATTATTCGAGTTTTCGGCTTTGAATTTTCAATTTTTATAGTTTTTCACTTCTTTACTTTTTAGATTTTTCAGTTTTTGTGTCTCTAATTTTTCGATTTACAATTTTTAGAGCTTTCAGTTTCCATTTTTCCATTTTCCAACTTTAGAATTTTATTTTTTAATTTTCGTTGCTTCAGATTTTAGTTTCTTTCCGAGTTCAAGTTTTTAATTTGTCATTTCTTCAGTACTCAAATTTTTCAATTTTTGCTTTCAATTGATGTTTTTTTTTAATTTTTCGAATTTTCAGATTTAAATATTTCATTTTCTCGATTTTTATATTTTTCAATTATTCGGTCTTTCAGTCTTTTGGTTTTTTAATTTTTCGAGTCTTCAGATTTAAATATTTATTTTTTTCAATTTTTAGATTTTTCAAGTCTTTCGTTTTTTTTTTAATTTTTCGATTTACAACTTTTCGAGTTTTAAATTTCATTTTTCCAGTTTTCAATTTAGGAATTTTTTTTATTTTTAATTTTCGTTTCTTCAAATTTTCGAGTTTCAGGTTTCACTTTTTCAATTTTTTTGTTTCTACTTGAATTTTTAGAGAGTTCAGATTTAAATTTCTCAAATTTTTCGAATTTTCAAGTTCAAATATTTCACTTCTTCGATTTCAATTTTAGAATTTTTGTTATTTTAATTTTTAATTTCTTCAATTTTCAGACTTTTCAGTTTTTTGTTTCAATTATTCGAGTTTTCGGCTTTGAATTTTCAATTTTTATAATTTTTGATTTCTTCACTTTTTAGATTTTTCAGTTTTTGTGTCTCTAATTTTTCGATTTACAATTTTTAGAGCTTTTAGTTTCCATTTTTCCAATTTCCAACTTTAGAATTTTATTTTTTAATTTTCGTTGCTTCAGATTTTAGAGTTTCTTGAGTTTTGTGTATTTTCAACTACAAATTTTTAATTTTTCGATTTCCAAGTTACAGTTTTTCGAGTTTTTTGATTTTTTTATTTTCGTTCCCACAGATTTTCGAGTAATTTTTTTATTTTTCAAGCTTTTAATTTGTCATTTCTTCAGTATTCAAATTTTCCAATTTTTGCTTTCAATCGATGTTTTTTTAATTTTTCGAGTTTTCAGATTTAAACATTTAATTTTTTCTATTTTTAGATTTTTCAGTTATTGGATCTTCCAGTCTTTGGTTTTTTTAATTTTTCGATTTACAATTTTTCGAGTTTTAAATTTCATTTCTGCAGTTTTCAATTTTGGGATTTTTTTATTTTTAATTTTCGTTCACTCAATTTTTTGATTTTTTAAATTTAATTCCTTCAGATTTTAGAGTTTCTTTTTGATGTTCTAATTTTTCATTTGTTCAATTTTTCGAGATTCCAGGTTTCAATTTTTCGATTTTCAAATTTTGACCTTTTTCATTTTGTTTTAAATTTTCCACCTTTCGATCTTCCAATTTTTTGTTTCGTCAGTTTTTTGAGTTTTCAAATTAAAATTTTCCATTTTTTCGTTTTTAAAATTTTTCAGTTTTTGGATCTTTGGGTTTTTTATTTTTGTTTATTTTTCGATTTACAACTTTTCAAGTTTTCACAGGAAATTTTTCAGGTTTTCAACTTGTGAATTTTTAGAACTTTCAGTTTCAAATATTTCTATTTTTCAACTTGTCAATTTTTTGATTTTTTAATTTCCGTTACTTCATTTTTTCCAGTTTAGAGTCATAGAAGTGATTAAGAAAAAATCTTAGTGAAGTTGTTTAGATTGTAATAATAAATCTGTAGGCAAAAGAAACTGACCTGATCCGCCTTGACCTCGCAAGCATCAAATCACCACTCTCAGTGAAAAAATAAATTTTTATTTTATTTAAAATTTAGATTTAATTCGAAACCCCCGCCCTAAAGGAAAATTTAATCTCTCACCCCCCATAATGCCCCCCGCGCCCTACCATCCCCCACCCGCTCAAACAACACATCAAGAACAACGTGATGGGAAAAGGTTCGATTGTGGATGTCAGTCTATAGAAGAACTACGGGAGTCGTGTAGTGCACTGCAGCCAGAGCAATGCAAGACAGTCTTTGAACTCGTCATGTTCTAGGATGAACAGCCCAGACCCCAAATACATTCACAATAGTGCCATCCGAGTCGTTGTTACTGAGGTTTCAACATTTACACACAAATCATGCCAAGTGTATGCAATGTCTTAAAGTAGAAACTCCAAACATGATAACGAACTTGCGCAGAGCTCGTTCGACCGTTGCAACAACGAAGAACTTCGAGCAAGTTTGTGGGAACCTCGCGCGAAAATCGGGCCCCTGGAGTCCGCGCTCTCCCGTTTCGAGCGCACCCAGCGCCCGATTTTCGCGGCGCGAGTCCGTACAGCGGTAGCAGTCACAGAACATGCTAGAATAAATTTAGCACGACACTAAGAGTCACTCTAGTAGCCAATACGACGGTCGAGAACACCAACTAGAACTATTCTCGTTTCTGTCTAATTTTGACTAACACAGATTCTCGGTGTGTTCGGTTGTTCTGTAAGCGACTTGAAATGGAGTTCTTACGAAACACAATGCTTGGCCCATCCAGTCTATGCTTTGAACGTGTGCAAATTGCAGAAATCGTGTGTTGTTGTTGGCTTTCTAAACCTACGCTGCCGACTTTTGTGTTTAGGGCGAAAACTATGGCGGGTACCATGGTTTTCGGCGGGCGCGAGTCGTACGAAACGGGGAATACCTACCTTCATCATCAGCAACAACGTGTTAAATACAATCAGCATCATTATAAAATACTCGAAAGGGGTGGATACCACGATCCTCCAGATTTTGTATTTGAAGCTGTTCCGCTTGTTCGGCATGTACCTCTCTAAAGGACGAGCTTGTATCGTGAAATCTATACAAGATTTCTGAAACGGGAGTGTTACTGGAGGGTGACGGAAAACCCGGCTGGCTTACTTGATTTTTGTCTATTTCACCACTTTGTAGTTCCGCTTCACCCTGTTCTTGAAACGTGATGATGATCAAGGCTACGAATATATTTACAAAGAAGAATGGAAATACTACAAAATATACAATGTAGAAAATGGACATTTCTATTCGAAAGTTTTGTATAGGGCCTTGATCTTCGTATGTGGCAGACATCGAGTGTTGGAGAACCCTTAAAACAGAAACAATAAGTGGTGAAAGTTTTCGGCAGTGTCGGATGTGGCATGGTCCACCGGGAAATTTAGTATTTTTAGGAAAAATGGATTCTCAATGCTTAACTTCGACTGTTTATGTTTGTACTTGGACCGAATTCGACTAAGCAATTTGGAATTTTTTGGTTTTGCAACTTACGAATTTTTTGATTTTTTAATTTTCATTCCTTCATATTGAGTTTCTTCAATTTTTCGACTTTTCAAGTTGAAAGTTTTCGATTTTTCGACTTTTGAATTTTTTGATGTTCGATTTTTTTATTTCTTCAATTCTCGAATTTTTCATTTTTTCGATCTTTCAATTTTTTTGTTTCTTCAAATTGTCAAGATTTTAGGTTTAAAATTTCCAATTTTCCGATTTTTTTAAGTCAATTTTTTTATTTTTAACTTTTGGATTTTTTATTTTCAATTTTCAAGTTTGAAGTTTCAATTTTTCAATTTGTCGATTTCGCCCTTTGAATTTTTTGGTTTCTTAATTTTTCATTTCTTTAATTTTTAGAGATTTCAGGTTAAAATTTGTCAATTTTTCGTGCTTTGTATTTCTTAATTTTTCAATTCTTCCATATTTCGATCTTCCCATTTTTCGTTTCTTCGATTTTTGGAGTTTTCAGATTTAGTTTTTTAATTTTTTGGTTCTTTAATTGTTCGATTTACAATTTTTCGAAGCTTCATCTTCAATGTTTCCATTTAATCTCAAAATTGATAACTGAAAAATTTTAAATCGAAAACTAGATTAAAAGAACAAAAACTGAAAAATCGAGAAACTCAAAATCGCACAATTAAAAACGAAAAACTAAGACAACTAAAACCTGAAAAATCGAAAAATTCAAAATAGAACAAAAACACGACTCGGAAAATTGAAAAAAAAAGAAAATATTTAAAAGTTGAAAAGTTAAAAATCAAAAGATCTAAAAATTTCAAACTGAAAAATCGAAAAATTAAACAAACAATTTAAAAAATAGAAAAATAAAAAATTTCAGAATGCAAATTGAAAAATTGAAGAAACGAAAAATTAAAATCGGAAAATTGAAAAATTAAAAAATGCAAGATTGAAAAAAAACATTTAAAAATGGAAAAATCGAAAAATTACAATTTGAAAAACTTAAAAATCAAAAACAAGCATTGAAAAATTCTAAAGTCAAAAATCGATAAATTGAGGAAATGAAAATTGTTTTTTAAAGCCTGAAGATTGAAACAAACTAATAAAATACATATATCAAATTTAAAACAAAAAATTTGCAAATCGAAACAAAAAACCGATAATCGAGAATTTGAAAAATTGATTTTTCATATTTGTGTCTTAATTTTTGATGTTGCAAATTTTCATTTCCTCAGTTTTCAAATTTCTTCATTTTTCGATATTTCAGTTTTTTGTTACTTCAATTTTTCGAAACTTATGGTTTAAATTTGTCATTTTTTTGCCTTTTCAAGTTTCGAATTTTTTGATTGTATAGTTTTTCGTTGTAATTTTCAGATATTTCAACTTTTTGATCTTTTAATTCTTTGAGTTTTCAGGTTTAAATTTTTCAATTTTTTGGTTTCGTAACTTATACTATATTTTTTTATTGCCATTCCTCAGATTTTCGATTATTCTACTTTAAAATTCTTTATGTTCTAATTTTTCAATTCGTCAGTTCTCAACTTTTTTCGGTTTCGCTGTTTTAGGTAACTCTTTCAATTTTTTGTTTCGTAAGTTTTTCACATTTTAATTTTTTGAGGTTTCAACTACAAATTTTTCAATTTTTCTATTTTTCAGATTTTTGTTTCAATTACTCGAGTTTTCAACTTTTTTTTGATTTTATATTTTTTAATTTCTCGAATTTTTCGAATTTCAGCTTTAAATTCTTCAATTTTTTGGTTTTGCACCTTATGAATTTTGTGATTTTTTAATTTTCGGGCTTTTGTTCAATTTTTCGAGATTTCGGATTTTTCAACTTTTAAATCGTTCAATTTTTTATTTCATCAGTTTTTTGAGTTTCAAAATTTAAATTTTTCACTTTAAAAATTTTACAGTTTTTAGATCTTTCAGTTTTTGGTTTTTGTTTATTTTGCAATTTACAATTTTTCAAGTTTTTAATTTAAATTTCTCTAATTTTCAACTTCGGAATTTTTTATTTTTAATTTTCGTTTCTTCAATTTCAGTTTTTCAATTTTTTGGTTTTGCACCTTATGAATTTTGTGATTTTTTTTTTGGTTTTTGTTCAATTGTTCGAAATTTCGGATTTTTCAACTCAGTTTTTTGAGTTTTAAAATTTAAATTTTTCATTTTAAAAATTTTCCAGTTTTTAGATCTTTCGGTTTTCAAGTTTTTAATTTAAATTTGTCTGATTTTCAACTTCTGAATTTTCGTTTTTTCATATTTTAAAATTTCTTCAATTTTTCGAGGTTGCAAGTTCAAATTTTTCAATTTTTTTAATTTTTAGCTTTTTGTTTCAATTATTCGAGATTACAGCTCTATTTTTTTGTTTTTTTGGTCTTTTCACTTTTGAATATTTTGATTTTATTTGTTCATTTCTCCAAGTTTTATGTTTTTCAATTATTGGATTTTCTAGTTTCGTTTTTTTTAATTTTTCTTTTAGAATTTTTCGAGTCTTGACTTTCAGTTTTTCCACTTTTGTTCTTCAGATTTTAGAATTTCTTCAATTTTTCGAGTTTTTAAGTTCAGTTGTTTTTAATTTGTTATAAGGTGCTTTACCATTTTTTTTGAGAGAAACACGAAAATCAAGCATCGAAAAATTCAAAATTAAAAGAATTCGAAAATTTTAAGAAACCAAGAAAACACTAAAAAATCAAAAAAATATGAAATTTAAACATCGAAAAATTGAAAAATTGAAATTTTAAAACTCGAAAAATTAAACAAACAAAAATCTGAAAGTTTAAAAAATTGAAAAATCCAAAAAATCAAACTTTTTAAATTCAAAAATACAAAAATTTCAATTAAACATTGAAATATTGGGAAACTCAAAAATCAAAAAATTAAACGTCGACAAATCGAAAAATTGACGAAAAATTAAAAAATTAAAAAAATTTAAAAATAGAAAATCTAAAGTTTTGAAATTGAATATTAGCAAAATGACAAATCGGAAAATTGGACAAATCAGAAAAAAATGAGAGATGGAAAAATTCTAAAATTTGAGAAACTTAAAAAATTAAAAATTTGGAAAATTGCTTGACTGGAAATTTTGAAAAAAACGATAACTGAGAAAAGTTAAAAAAAGGAAAAAAATTGCAAAACAAAAATCGAAAAACTAACAAATTGGTAAATGGATCAATAAAAAAATCTGAAAAATCGAAAAAATGAAAATCGGAAATTTGAAAATTTAAAATTCGGGAAACTGAAAAATCGTAAAACTGAAGGATCAGAAAGTTAAAAAATCGAAAAATTGAAAAATACTTATTGGAAAAAATCGAAAAGATGCATTGAAAAGTTCAATGTAGAAAAATTGACGAAATGATTTAAAAAATCAAAAATATTCAAAAGTTGAAAAATGCAAAATTTCGAAATTGAAAACTGGAGAAATTGCAAAAGACAAATTCACAAACTACGCAAAAGTAGAAATGTGAATAACGAAAAATTGAAAAATTTAAACTTGAAAACACGTAAAAATGGAAAAAACAAAATTTGGAAAATAAAAAATTTGAACTGAGACTAGAAAATTGAAAAATTGTGAAATCGAAAATTTCCAAATAGAAAAATAAAAATGAAAGAATTCAAAATAGAAAAATCAAAGTATCTAAAAATCGTAGAAGCGAAAAATTACAAAATGAAAATCGAAAAACTGTCAGATTGGAAAATGGATTATTAAAAAAATCGGGAACATCGAAAAATTGAAAATCGGAAATTTGAGAAATTGTAAATCTGGAAATTGAAAAATTCTTTTTGAAACAAATCGAAAAGAAGCATCGAAAAGTTCAAAACTTGAAAAATTGATGAAATGAAGAATTAAAAAATCAAAAATATTCATAAACTGAAAAATGAAAAATTTAGAAACCGAAAACCGGAAAAATTACAAAAAAATTGAAAAACTACACAAAATAAAAAATTAAAACTTGAAAACAGGTAAAATTGAAGAAATAAAATTTGAAAAATCAAAAATTTCAAACTGAGAACTAGAAAAGTTGGAAACCAAATTGAAACTATTTTCAATTTTTCTATAAAAATTAAAAATTGAAGAATTCAAAAAAGAATAATAGGTGTATCGTAAACTAAAAATCGCGGAAAAGAAACATCAAAAATTTGGAAAAATTGAAAAATGGAACAGTGTTTTTTTAAATTTTCTATCTAGAATTTTTCGAGTCTTGACTTTCAGTTTTTCCACTTTTATTTGTTGTTCAGATTTTAGAATTTTTCGAGTTTTTAAGTTCAGTAGTTGTTTTTAATTTGTTATAAGGTGCTTTACTATTTTTTTTTTTTAGAAAAAAGCCAATTTTGAAGTGTTTTTTATTCAAAAATAAAACTGAAGAAACTGAAAGTTAACATTGAAAAATTCTAAAATTCATTTTGAAAAAGCGAAAAATTTTAGATTCAAAATTAGAAAAATTACAGCCAAAAATTTAAGATTCCAAAAATTAAAAATCGAGAAACTCGAAAATCAAGCATCGAAAAATGCAAAAGTTAAAAAATCTAAAAATTGGCGACATAAAAAATTAAAAATTAAGAGTTCAGAAATATTAAGAAACCAAGAAAACAATAAAAAATGAAAAAATATGAATTTTAAACATCGAAAAATTGAAATTTTAAAACTCGAAAAATTAAACAAACAAAAATTTGAAAGTTTAAAAAATTAGGAAACTCAAAAATCAAAAAATTAATCGTTGACAAATCGAAAAATTGACGAAAAATTAAAAAATCAAAAAAATTGAAAAATAGAAAATCTAAGATTTTGAAATTGAACACTAGCAAATTACAAATCGAAAAATTGAACAAATCAGAAACTGAGAGATCGAAAAAATCTAAAATTTGAGAAACTAAAAAAAAATAAAAAATTTGGAAAATTGAAAACTGGAAAAATTGCAAAAGAAAAATTCAAAAACTACACAAAATAAAAAAATTAGAAATGTGAATATCGAAAAACTGAAAAATTCAAACTTGAAAACACGTAAAATGGAAAAACAAAATTTGGAAAATCAAAAATTTGAAACAGACTAGAAAAATTGAAAAATTGTGAAATCGAAAATTTCCAAATAGAAAAATAAAAATTCAAAAATTCAAAATAGAAAAATCAAAGTATCTAAAAATCGTAGGAGCGAAAAATTGCAAAATGAAAATCGAAAAACTGTCAGATTGGAAAATGGATTATTCAAAAAATCGGGATCATCGAAGAATTGAAAATCGGAAATTTGAGAATTTGTAAATCTGGAAATTGAAAATTTCTTTATGAAACAAATCGAAAAGAAGCATCGAAAAGTTCAAAACTTGAAAAATTGACGAAATGAATTAAAAAATCAAAAATATTTAAAAACTGAAAAATGAAAAATTTAGAAACCGAAAACCGGAAAAATTGCAAAAAAATTGAAAAACTACACAAAATAAAAAATTAAAAAATTAAAACTTGAAAACAGGTAAAATTGAAGAAACAAAATTTGAAAAATCAAAAATTTCAAACTCAGAACTAGAAAAGTTGGAAACCAAATTGAAAATAGAAAAATTAAAAATTGAAGAATTCAAAAAAGAGTAATCGGAGTATCGTAATCGCGGAAAAGAAACATCAAAAATTTGAAAAAAATGAAAGATGGAAAAGTGTCATATTTTATAAAATTTAAATGACTACTACTGTAAATTTTGGAGATGACGTCAACTTTTAGATTTTTCAATTATTGGATTTTTTCCATTTTCAACTTCGCAATTTTTTATTTTTAATTTTCGTTTCTTCAATTTTTCAATTTTTTGATTTTTTTGCTTTTTGTTTCAATTATTCGAGATTACCACTCTAATTTTTTTGTTTTTTTGGTTGTTTCCCTTTTGAATATTTTGATTTTATTTGTTCATTTTTCCATGTTTTAAATTTTTCAATTATTGGATTTTTTAGTTTCGTGTCTTGACTTTCAGTTTTTCCATTTTTGTTCTTCAGATTTTAGAATTTCTTCAATTTTTCGAGTTTTTAAGTTCAGTTGTTGTTTTTAATTTGTTATAAAGTGCTTTACAATTTTTTTTTAGAAAACAAGCCAATTTTGAAGTGTTTTTTATTCAAAAAGTAAAACTGAAGAAACTAGAAGTTAACATTGCAAAATTCTAAAATTCATTCTGAAAAAGCGAAAAATTAGAACATTTTAAATTCAAAATTCGAAAAATTACAACCACAAATTTAAGATTCGAAAAATTAAAAATCGAGAAAGACGAAAATCAAGCATCGAAAAATTCAAAATTAAAAGAATTCAAAAATTTTAAGAAACCATGAAAACAAAAAATCAAAAAAGTATGAATTTTAAACATCGAAAAATTGAAAAATTCAAATTTTAAAACCGAAAAATTAAACAAACATCCAAAAAATCAAACTTTTTAAATTCAAAAATTAAAAAATCAAAAAAATTGAAAAATAGAAAATCTAAAGTTTTGAAATTCAATATTAGCAAGATTACAAATGGAAAAATTGAACAAATCAGAAAAAAATTAAAGATCGAAAAATTCTAAAATTTGAGAAACTAAAAAAATTAAAAATTTGGAAAATTGCTTGACTTGAAATTTTGAAAAAAAAAGTTGAAATCTAGAACCAGAAAAATTGTAAATTCGAGAAACGAAGTCACAAAATTCAAAATTCGAAAAATTAAATAACAAAAAAATGAAAATTTACAAATCGAAAAATGAAGTATTGAAAAATTCAAAAAAGAAAAAGTAATATGTCTAAAAATTTTCTTGAAACAAAAAACTGCAAAATGGAAAAGTTCCAAATCGAAAAATTGAAAATTTTAAAAGTCGAAAAAGTGTAAAATTGTAAAATTCGATAACTGAGAAACGAAAAGTTAAAAAAAGGGAAAAATTGCAAAACAAATGGAAAACTACATTAAATAAAAAAATAAGAAAAAATAAGAAAAATTAAAAAAAACAAAAACCTGAAAGTTTGAAAAATTGAAAATCTAAAAACCGAAGAAACGAAAAATAAAAATCAAAAAATTTTATATTGAGAAAAACTAGAAAAAATAAAAACCAAAAAATTACAAAACAAAAATCGGAAATTTGAAAATTTAAAAATCGGGAAATTCAAAAATCGAAAAATTGCAAATTCGTAAAACTGAAGGATCAGAAAGTTAAAAAATCGAAAAATTGAAAAATACTTATTGGAACAAATCGAAAAGACTCATTGAAAAGTTCAATGTAGAAAAATTGACGAAATGAATTAAAAAATCAAAAATATTCAAAAGTTGAAATAGCAAAATTTCGAAATTAAAACTGGAAAAATTGCAAAAGAAAAATTCAAAAACTAAACAAAATAAAAAATTAGAAATGTGAATACCGAAAAACTGAAAAATTTAAACTAGAAAAAATTGAAAAATTGTGAAGTCAAAAATTTCCAAATAGAAAATAAAAATTCAAAAATTCAAAATAGAAAAATCAAAGTACCTAGAAATCGTAGAAACCAAAAATTGCAAAATGAAAATCGAAAAACTGAAAATCAGAAATTTGAAAATTTGTAAATCTGGAAATTGAAAAATCGAAAAATTAATTTTGAAGCAAATCGAAAAGAAGCATCGAAAAGTTCAAAACTTGAAAAATTGAGGAAATGAAGAAATAAAAAATCAAAAATATTCAAAAGATTGAAAAATGCAAAATTTCGAAATTGAAAACTAGAAAAATTGCAAAAGAAAAATTGAAAAACTACATAAAATAACAAATTAAAAAATCTAAAAATTAAAAGAATTCAAACATTTTAAGAAACCAAGGAAACAATAAAAAATAAAAAAAATATGAATTTTAAACATCGAAAAATTTAAAAATTGAAATATTAAAACACGAAAATTTAAACAAATAAAAATCTGAAAGTTTAAAAAATTGAAATTTTCTAAATTCAAAAATACAAAAATTTCAATTAAATATTGAAAAATTGGGAAACTCAAAAATCAAAAAATTAAACATCGGCGTCGACAAATCGAAAAATTGACGAAAAATTAAAAAATCAAAAAAATTGACAAATAGAAAATCTAAAATTTCGAAATTGAACACTAGCAAAATTACAAATCGAAAAATTGAACAAATCAGAAACCGAGAGATCGAAAAAATCTAAAATTTGAGAAACTAAAAAAAATTAAAAATTTGGAAAATTGCTTGACTTGAAATTTTGGAAAAAAAAGTTGAAATCTAGAACCAGAAAAATTGTAAATTCGAGAAACGAAGTCGCAAAATTGAAAAGAAGCATCGAAAGTTGAAAAAACTGGAAAAATTGCAAAAAAAATGGAAAACTACATTGAATAAAAAAAAAATTAAAAATAAAAATTAAAAAACAAAAACCTAAAAATTTGAAAAATTGAAAAATCTAAAAACTGAACAACGAAAATTAAAAATCAAAAAATTGGATATTAAGAACTAGAAAAAATAAAAATCGAAAAATTAAAAATTGAAGCATTCAAGAAAGAAAAATCAAAGTATCTAAAAATTGTAGAAGCGAAACATTGCAAAACGAAAATCGAAATTTGAAAATTTAAAAATCAGGAAATTGAAAAATACTTATTGGAAAAAATCGAAAAGACGCATTAAAAAGTTCAATGCAGAAAAGTTGAAAAATGTAAAATTTCGAAATTGAAAACTGTAAAAATTGCAAAAGAAAAATTCAAAAACTACGTAAAATAAAAAATTAGAAATGTGAATAACGAAAAATTGAAAAATTTCAACTTGAAAACACGTAAAAATGGAAAAAACAAAATTTGGAAATTCAAAAAGTTGAAACTGAGACTAAAAAAATTGAAAAATTGTGAAATCGAAAATTTCCAAATAGAAAAATAAAAATTAAAAAATTCAGAATAGAAAAATCAAAATATCGAAAAATCGTAGAAGCGAAAAATTGCAAAATGAAAATCGAAAAACTGGCAGATTGGAAAATGGATTGTTCAAAAATTCGGGAACATCGAAAAATTTAAAATTTGTTAATCCGGAAATTGAAAAATCGAAAAATTGAAAAATTCTTTTTTAAACAAATCGAAAAGAAGCTTCGAAAAGTTCAAAGCTTGAAAAATTGACGAAATGAAGAATTAAAAAATCAAAAATAATCAAAAAATGAAAAATTTAGAAACCGAAAACCGGAAAAATTGCAAAAAAATTGAAAAACTACACAAAATAAAAAATTTAAAAAAAAATTGAAAAATGAATATCAAAAAATTGAAAAATTTAAACTTGAAAACAGGTAAAATTGAAAAAATTTGAAACTAAGAACTAGAAAAATTGAAAACCAAATTGAAAATAGAAAAATTAAAAATTGAAGAATTCAAAAAAGGATAATCGGAGTATTTAAAAATCGCGGAAAAGAAACATCAAAAATTTGAAAAAATTGAAAAATGAAAATGTCATATTTTATAAAATTTAAATGCTATTTGCCACTGTAAATTTTGGAGATGACGTCAACAAATTATTGGTAGGGATGATTAGCCAAATTATTGGTTTAGTAGTCCCAGAGATTATTTGCATAATAAAAAGACAGACAGACGTACTGAGTTTACACATAACGTTTTTCATGCGTCTGTTAGAATTTTAGGAATACTTATTGCAAAAAAAAAGTAATAGACTAGAAATTTCCCGGTGTTCCGGCGGCCCAATCCAACACTGATTTCCAGGTAGCGATTGGTCAAAAATACTCACTGAGGCCATCCCTCTCCGGTCTGAACGGCAAACAGCGTCAACATCGCCATCGCTACATTATCATAGTGAAAACTCTGCAATTTCCAGTCGCGTTTTTCTACTCGAGGCACATCGCTGTCTTCATCAAAAATAAAATACTGACCCCTAGAGAACAAAGAACCATGAAAGAGTGACCCCGGCCACCCCCCTCCATACTCACTGGCACGTGGCTTCTGTAAATTTACTTGCATCAGTACAGTGTCGAAATTTTCCGTTGAACAACTGAACGGCGATCACAGCAAATATAAACTGGAATAATATATACACTATAAGAATGTTTATCACATTTTTTAACGAGTTTACTAAACAGTCGAACACTGCTTTTAATTTGGGCACTCGTTTAATTGTTTTTAACGGTCTTAACACTCGGAGCACCCGCAGCGACTTGATCGTCGACAAATTCGCACCCGCTTTGTTTTGCCTGCAACGAAACGGTGACGTCACACTCAATTCGGCCAATCAGCGACGAGTACTCACGCCACGTCGAACCCCATGGAGACGAGCGCGCAGATCACCACCGCGGCGTCCATGATGTTCCAGAACTCCCTCAAGTAGGACCCCGGATGCAATATAATCCCGAGGTCGACGATTTTCAGGAGCATCTCCACGGCGAACACTCCAGTGAAAGCGTAGTCTAATCTGTCCAGGATCAAGTTCCAGCTCGAGTCCTCGTTCACCGGGTCCTCGGCAGCCAGCGCCATCGAACTGAGGCAGATTACGATCATTATAAAAAAATCAAAGTAACGCAGGTTTACGATCCCGTGGGCGAATCTTCTCACACTAAAAGAACACACTTAAGTCGTTAGAAGCAACGAAATTGGCGAAGTCGTACGGATTTGTGGGTGATAGTATAAACATGCTAGAGTATGGCAGCATAGGCTTGGGACCGACGATTTCCTCCTCCTCATCGGGCGGCTTCTCCTCCTTCTTCTTGCGGCCTTTGACGGGGCTGGGCGGACAGACCTCGACGCGGGGGTTGGAGCCTGCCTCGATCTGTAAGGCTTCCATTTCCTTTTGGAGTTCTAGTTCTTGCTTCTCTTTGTTCTCTTCGGCTTGTTCTTCCTCGGCAGCCGTCAGTTCTTGGGCGTTGGCTAAGTTGTCGACGGCGATGGCCAAGAATACGTTGAGCAAAGTGTAGTTGCCGAAGAGCATGAGGATGATGAAGTATAGGGAGTAGACCATGCCGCCGTTCTCGTGGCCCCCCAAGGCTTCGATTCCGTAGTACATGACCTCGTTCCAGTCTTCGCCGGTTAATATCTGGGGAGAAGGGGTGAGATTGTGGGGTGAAAGTGGTGGGTGAGCAGAGAGTGAGGGATTTTCGCCTCTATGATGATTAAATGACAGATATTCTTCTACAAAAATAAATCAATAAAACTTTTATTCAATGTATTTTTTGTTTCATTTTTCAAATATTTAATTATTTAAGTTCCATTTTTTTGTTTATTAAATTTTTCGAATCGTTGAGTTAAATTTTTTTTCCACCTTGGATTTTTTGAATTATTTATTTGGCGTTCCTTCAAATTTCATTTTCTTCAAATTTTCTATTTTCATTTTTTTTTTTGTTTCGAATAACAGTTTTAGTTGATTCTAGTTTTCAATTTCAAATGGTTTGATTTCCCAATTTTATTTTTTGACTTTTTAGTTTCTTCAAATTTTAGATTTTTCAATTTTTCTTTCTTTCTATTTTGCTTTCTTCAATTTTTACAGTTTTCGATTTCCAATTTTATTTTTTAATTTTTCATTGTTAGAATTTTCGATTTTGCAATTTTTGGATTTTTCCGATTTCAATTAATCCGTTTTCTAATTTTTCAGTTTTTCGATTTTCAACCTTTTTTTCAGTTCTCAGATTTTTCAGTTTTTGGAAGTTTCAATTTTATTATTTTTCATTTTTGGTTTCCTCAAATTTTGGATTTTTCAATGTTTCGATCTCTCAATTTCCGCTTTCTTCAATTTTTCTAGTTTTCAATTTCAAAATTTTTGATTTTTCAGTTTTTGAATTTTACAATTTAGTAATTTTTCATTTCGTCCAGTTTTCCATTACTCAATTTTAAAATGTTTGCGTTTCCCAATTTTAAAATTTTCAATTTTCCGATTTTCGGCTTTTCGATTCATGCGTTTCCAACTTCGTCAGTTTTTTTATTTCCATTTTGCAATTTTCCGTTTCTACGATTTTTAGATATTTTGATTCTTCTTTTTTGAATTCTTCAATTTTTAGTTTTTGCATTTGGAAGTTTTCGGTTTCGGTTTGGTTTTAATTTGTATTGTTCTGAATTTCATTTTTTTTGATTTTTCAAATTTTGTTTTTCATTTTTCGTTTCTTCAGTTTTTAAGAATTTGACAATTTTTCGATTTTTGAATTTTAGTTTTTTCGATTTTTCAATTTCTTAATTTTTCTACTTTCGAATTTAAAATGTTTCAATTTTCCGATTTTTCAAAAGAAATTTTAATATTTTCAGATTTTTTTTCGAGTTTTCAAGTTTAATTTTTTCAAATTTTTAATTTTCTCATTTTTTGGATTTCTCAAATTTTAGATTTTCTCTCTGAATTTTTTGGATCTTTAAATTTTTCGTTAATTTTTCAATTTCTCAACGATAAATTTTTCGACTTTTCAGATTTTTAATTTTTTATTTCATTTAGTTCTTCAAATTTCAGATTTTTCAATTTTTCTTTTGCACTTTTTCCACTCTTCAATCTCAAAATTTTCAATTTTTGAAATTTTTTATTTTCAAAATTTTTAATTTTTTTTTTTGAATTTTTAGGTATGTATTTCATTTTTTGATTTATAAATTTTCAAATATCAGGTTTTTAATTTTTTCATTTTTCAATTTTGTGATTTTTTATTTCTCGAATTTGCAATTTTTCTAGTTCTCAATTTCAAATTTTTAATTTTTTCAAATATTCAGGTCTTTGTTTCATCAATTTTTCGAGTTTCCAAATTCAAACTTTTTTATTTTTCAAATTTTCAGGTTTTTGTTTCATTAATTTTTCGAATTTTCAAGTTGAAATTTCTCATATTTTTAAATTTTAATTTTTTTAGTTTTTCAAATTTTAGATTTTTCCATTTTTCGATATCTCAGTTTCTGATTTCTCCAATTTTTCGATTTGTAATTTTTTTATTTTTTAATTTCAAAAATTTAAAATTTTCAATTTTCGAATTTTTTGGATGATCTAATTTTTCATAATTTTTCAGTTTTTCAAGTTAAATAATAATAATAATAATTGCATTTATTAACGCCAATAAAGCTATTACAGAGTAAAATAAAGAAAAAACTACTAAATGTTTCAGTTTTTCAAATTTTTGATTTCCTATTTTATTTAGTTCCTCAAATTTCAGATCTTTCAATTTACCTTTTGCACTTTTCCAGTTTCCAATTTCAAAATTTTCAATTTTTGAGATTTTTGATTTTTTAATTCTGTATTTTGTCAGTTTTTCAACTTCTGAATTTTTCAATGCTTCTTTTCTATTTTTAAATATTGCCATTTTTAATTTTGTGATTTTTATGAATTTTTCGAATTTTTCAAAATCAGTTTTTCAAATTTTTGTTTCTCAGTTTTAGAACTTCAGAATTTTTCAGTTTTTTAATTCTATTTTTTTTTATTTTTTAAATCTTCAGGTCCTTGTTTTCAATTTTTGGAGTTTTCAAGTTCAAATTTATAAATTTTTAATTTTTCAATTTTTTATTTCCCACATCTCAGGTTTTGATTGCTTCAATTTTTGGATTTGTAATTTTTCCAGTTTTAAATTTCAAAATTTTAGATTTTTTAATTTTTGAATTTTTTTGACGTTTTACTTTTTCGTCAATTTTACGATTTTTCAAAATTTAAATTTTTCGATTTTTGAATTTCTCAATTTTTCAATTTTTGGTTGAAATTTTGTTATTTTTGTATTTAAAAAGTTTCATTTTTTAGATTTTTCGAACACTCAAGTTTTTGTTTCTTCAATTTTTCGAGTTTTTAAACTTCAAGTTTTCAATTTTTCGATATTTTAAATTTAATATTGTTTAATACTTTATTTTTTCTAGTTTCTTCAATTTTTCGATTTGCAATTTTTCTAATTTTCAGTTTCAAAATTTTAGATTTTTCAGTTTTTGAATTTTTCATTTCGTCAATTTTTCTATTTTTCAACTTTTAAATTTTTTATGTGTCTTTACTACGTTTGAGTTTCTCGATTTTAATTTTTTTGATTTTTTCCAATTTTTCGTTTCTACCATTTTTAAATATTTTGATTTTTCTTTTTGAATTCTGGATTTGAAAATTTTCGATTTCACATTCTTGGTTCTTAATTTTTGTGGTTCACAATTTCAAATTTTTCAAATTTTCACATTTTTTTTTTATTATTTTACGTATTTATTTTTTATTATTTTACGTATTTATTTTCCCAAATTTCAGATTTTTCAATTTTTCTTTCGCACTTCTACCAGTTCTCAATTCCAAAATTTTCATTTTTTGAAATTTTTGATTTTTTAATTCTTCATTTGGTCAATTTTTCAACTTTTGAATTTTTCGATGCTTGTTTTCGATTTTTGGTTTCTCCATTTTTAATTTAGCGATTTTTATAATTTTTTTTTGATTTTCCAAAATCAGTTTTTCTGTTTTTCGTTTTTCAGTTTTAGAATTTTACAACTTTTCGATTTTTCAAGTTTACAGTTTTTCGTTTTTTCGATTTTTTAATTTAAAATGTTTCAATTTTCCCAAAGGTATTTGACAATTTTTCGATTTTTAAAATTTTCAATTTTCTGACTTGGAATTTTTCGATTTTTCCGAATTTTCAATTCATTCTCCGATTTCTTCCATTTTGCAATTTTCCTTTCTACAATTTTTACATATTTATTTTTTTCTAATTTTTCGATTTTACAATTTTCCAATTTCTTGGTATTTTAATTTTTAGATTTTTCAATTTTGCGATTTTTCGTTTCTCGAATTTGCAATTTTTTTAGTTCTCAAGTTAACATTTTTTGATTCTTTAATTCTTTTTTTTGTTTCATCAATTTTTCGAGTTTTCAAGTTTAAATTTTTCAAATTTCTATTTTTTTAATTTGTTTTAGCTTCTTCAAATTTTAGAATTCTCAAATTTTTCGATTTGTGTTTTTCTAGTTTTCAATTTTTCAATTTTTTTCGTTTTTTTACGTTTAAATTTTTCAATTTTTGAGTTTCTCAATTATTCAGTTTTTGGTTGAAATTTTTCTGCTTTTGAATTTAAAATGTTTCATTTTTTATGTTTACAAATTTTCAAACTTTTAGGTTTTTGTTTCATGAATTTTTCAAGTTCAATGTCTCAAATTTATAATTTTTTGTTTTTTATTGTTTTTTAGTTTCTTCAAATTTCAGATTTTTTAATTTTTCGATCTCTGTTTCTACACTCTTCAATTTTTCGGTTTGCAATTTTTCCAGTTTTCAATTTCAAAATTTTAAGTTTTGAATTCTTTGATTTATTTACTTTGTATAGAGTCAAATTTTCGTTTCTTTAATTTTTCAATTTGTAATTTTTCTGGTTTTCAATTTCAGTTTTTTAATAATTTTTCGTTTAATTTCAAATTTTTCAACATTTCAATCGTTCTTTTTTGTTTCTTCAATTTTTGGGGCTTCCAAGTTTTTTTTCATTTTTCGTTCCATCAATTTTTAATTTTTCAGGTTTTCGATCATTTCAATTTTTGTTTCTTTAATTGTTCGAAGTGCAGTTTTTCAGGATCTCGATTTAAAATTTTTCGACTCTTCGACTTTTGGATTTTTTTTTATTTTGTTATATTAAATTTTTTTATTTTTTTCATTTTCAGTATATTCAATTTTAGATTTTCAGTTCTTTGTGGTTATTTATATTTTTCTGTTTTAAAAATTTTAGATTTTTCAAATGTTCGATCTCTTAGTTTCGGTTTTCTTTAATTTTTCGATTTGCAATTTTTCTAATTTTCAGTTTCAAAATTTTAGATTTTTCAGTTTTTGAATTTTTCATTTCGCCAATTTTTCTATTTTTCAACTTTTAAATTTTTTATGTTTCTTTACTTCGTTTGAGTTTCTCGATTTTAAATTTTTTGAATTTTCAGTTTTCCATTTTGCAATTTTTCGTTTCTACGATTTTTAAATATTTTGATTTTTCTTTTTGAGTTCCGGATTTAAAAATTTTCGGTTTCACATTCTAGGTTCTTAATTTTTGTGGTTCAAATTTTTACTTTTTTTTATTTTACATATTTAGTTTCCCAAATTTCACATTTTTCAATTTTCTTTTGGCGCTTTTACCAGTTGTCAATTTCAAAATTTTCATTTTTTGAAATTTTTAATTCTTTAATTCTTCATTTCGTCAATTCTTCAACTTTTGAGTTTGCCGATGCTTGTTTTCGATTTTTGGTTTCTCAATTTTTAATTTAGCGATTTTTATCAATTTTTTTTATTTTCCAAAATCAGGTTTTCTATTTTTCGTTTTTCAGTTCTAGAATTTCACATTTCCGATTTTTCAGTCGTTTTCAATTTTCTGACATGGAATTTTTCGATTTTTCCGAATTTTCAATTCATTCTTCGATTTCTATTTTGCAATTTTCCTTTCTACAATTTTTAGATATTTATTTTTGTTAATTCTTAGATTTGTAAATTTTCGATTTTACAATTTTCCAATTTCTTGGTATTTTTTTTTTGACTTTTCAATTTTGCGATTTTTCGTTTCTCGAATTTATATTTTTTTTTCCTAAGTTAAAATTTTTTGATTCTTCAATTCTTCTTTTTTTTTGTTTCATCAATTTTTTGAGTTTGCAAGTTTAAATTTTTCAAATTTCTATTTTTTTAATTTGTTTTAGCTTCTTCAAGTTTTCAGTCTTTCAATTTTCTTCGTCAATTTTGCGTTTTTTGCAACGTTTAAATTTTTCGATTTTTGAGTTTCTCAATTTTTCAATTTCTGGTTGAAATTTTTCTGCTTTTGAATTTGAAATGTTTCATTTTTGATGTTTACAAGTTTTCAAACTTTTAGGTCATCAATTTTTCAAGTTTTCAAGTTCAATGTCTCAAATTTATAACTTTTTGTTTTTTTATTGTTTTTTAGTTTCTTCAAATTTCAGATTTTTTAATTTTTCGATCTCTCTCTTTCTACACTCTTCAATTTTTCGGTTTGCAATTTTTCTACTTTTCAATTTCAAAATTTTAAGTTTTGAATTCTTTGATTTATTTTTTATTGTGTCAAATTTTCGTTTCTTTAATTTTTCAGTTTGTAATTTTTCTGGTTTTCAATTTCAGTTTTTTAATAATTTTTCGTTTAATTTTAAATTTTTCAACATTTCAATCGTTCTTTTTTTGTTTCTTCAATTGTTGGGGCTTCCAAGTTTTTTTTCATTTTTCCTTCCATCAATTTTTAGATTTTTCAGGTTTTCGATCATTTAAATTTTTGTTTCTTTAACTGTTCGAAGTGTAGTTTTTCTGAATCTCGATTTAAAATTTTTCGACTCTTCCACTTTTGGATTTTTTTTTTATTTTGTTTTATTAAATTTTTTTATTTTTTTCATTTTCAGTATATTCAGTTTTAGATTTTTCAGTTTTTCGATCTTTCAGTTCTTTGTGGTTATTTGTATTTTTCAGTTTTTAAAATTTTAGATTTTTCAAATGTTCGATCTTAGTTTCGGTTTTCTTTAATTTTTCGATTTGCAATTTTTCTAATTTTCAGTTTCAAAATTTTAGATTTTCAGTTTTTGAATTTCTCATATCGTCAATTTTTCTATTTTTCAACTTTTAAATTTTTTGTTTCTTTACTACGTTTGAGTTTGTCGATTTTAAATTTTTTGATTTTTCAGTTCGATTTTGTAATTTTTCGTTTCTACGATTTTAAATATTTTGATTTTTCTTTTTGAGTTCTGGATTTCAAAAATTTTCGGTTTCACATTCTAGGTTCTTAATTTTGTGGTTCAAATTTTTCGAATTTTCAAATTTTTACTTTTTTTTATTTTACACATTTAGTTTACCAAATTTCAGATTTTTCAATTTTCTTTTGGCGCTTTTACCAGTTGTCAATTTCAAAATTTTCATTTTTTGGAATTTTTGATTTTTTAATTCTTCATTTCGTCAATTCTTCAACTTTTGAGTTTGTCGATGCTTGTTTTCGATTTTTGGTTTCTCAATTTTTAATTTAGCGATTTTTACCAATTTTTTTTTATTTTCCAAAATCAGGTTTTCTATTTTTCGTTTTTCAGTTCTGGAATTTCACATTTCCGATTTTTCACAGTCGTTTTCAATTTTCTGACATGGAATTTTTCGATTTTTCCGAATTTTCAATTCATTCTCCGATTTCTATTTTGCAAATTTCCTTTCTACAATTTTTAGATATTTATTTTTGTTAATTTTTAGATTTATAAATTTTCGATTTTTACAATTTTCCGATTTCTTGGTATTTCAATTTTTTGATTTTTCAATTTTGCGATTTTTCGTTTCTCGAATTTGCAATTTTTTGAGTTCTCAAGTTAAAATTTTTTGATTCTTCAATTCTTCTTTTTTTTTTGTTTCATCAATTTTTTGAGTTTTCAAGTTTAAATTTTTCAAATTTCTATTTTTTTAATTTGTTTTAGCTTCTTCAAATTTTAGAATTTTAAAATTTTTCGGTTTTTGATTTTCCTAGTTTTCAGTCTTTCAATTTTCTTCGTCAATTTTTCGTTTTTTGCAACGTTTAAATTTTTCGATTTTTGAGTTTCTCAATTTTTCAATTTTTGGTTGAAATTTTTCTGCTTTGGATTTAAAATGTTTCATTTTTTATGTTTACAAATTTTCAAACTTTTAGGTTTTTGTTTCATCAATTTTTCAAGTTTTCAAGTTCAATGTCTCAAATTTATAATTTTTTTGTTTTTTTAGTTTCTTCAAATTTCAGATTTTTTAATTTTTCGATCTCTGTTTCTACACTCTTCAATTTTTCGGTTTGCAATTTTTCTAGTTTTCAATTTCAAAATTTTAAGTTCTTAATTCTTTGATTTGTTTATTTTTTATTGAGTCAAATTTTCGTTTCTTTAATTTTTCAATTTGTAATTTTTCTGGTTTTCAATTTCAGTTTTTTAATAATTTTTCGTTTAATTTTTCAAATTTTTCAACATTTCAATCGTTTTTTTTTTGTTTCTTTAATTTTTGAGCTTCCAAGTTTTTTTTCATTTTTCGTTCCATCAATTTTTAGATTTTTCAGGTTTTCGATCCTTTAAATTTTTGTTTCTTTAATTGTTCGAAGTACAGTTTTTCTGGATCTCGATTAAAAATTTTTCGACTCTTCCACTTTTGGATTATTTTTTTTTTAATTATGTTTTATTAAATTTTTAGATTCTCTTTTTGAACTTTAAATTTTTTGATTTTTTTCATTTTCAGTATATTCAATTTTAGATTGTTCAGTTTTTCGATCTTTCAGTTCTTTGTGGTTATTTATATTTTTCAGTTTTTAAAATTTTAGATTTTTCAAATGTTCGATCTCTTAGTTTCGACTTTCTTCAATTTTTCGATCTGCAATTTTTCTAATTTTCAGTTTCAAAATTTTAGATTTTTCAGTTTTTGAATTTTTCTTTCGTCAATTTTTCTATTTATCAACTTTCAAATTTTTTATGTTTCTTTACTTCGTTTGAGTTTCTCGATTTTAAATTTTTTGAATTTTCAGTTTTCCATTTTGCAATTTTTCCTTTCTATGATTTTTAAATATTTTGATTTTTCTTTTTGAGTTCTGGATTTGAAAATTTTCGGTTTCACATTCTAGGTTCTTAATTTTTGTGATTCAAATTTTTCGAATTTTCAAAGTTTTACTTTTTTTATTTTACATATTTACTTATTTAGTTTCCCAAATTTCAGATTTTTCTTTTGGCACTTTTACCAGTTCTAATTTTCATTTTTTGAAATTTTTCCGAATTTTCAATTAAATCTCCGATTTCTATTTTGCAATTTTCCTTTCTACAATTTTTAGATATTTATTTTTGTTAATTCTTAGATTTGTAAATTTTCGATTTTACAATTTTCCAATTTCTTAGTATTTTAATTTTTCGATTTTTCAATTTTTCGTTTCTCGAATTTACAGTTTTTTTAGTTCTCAAGTTAAAATTTTTTGATTCTTCAATTCTTCTTTTTTTTCATCAATTTTTCGAGTTTTGAAGTTTAAATTTTTCAAATTTAAATTTTTTTAATTTGTTTTAGCTTCTTCAGATTTTAGAATTTTCAAATTTTTCATTTTTTATGATTACAAATTTTCAAACTTGTAGGTTTTTGTTTCATCAATTTTTCGAGTTTTCAAGTTCAATGTTTCAAATTTATAATTTTTGATTTTTTTATTGTTTTTTTTTTAGTTTCTTCAAATTTCAGATTTTTTAATTTTTCTATCTCTGTTTCTGTACTCTTCAATTTTTCGGTTTGCAATATCTCGAGTTTTCAATTTCAAAATTTTAGGTTTTGAATTCTTTGATTGATTTATTTTTTATTAAGCCAAATTTTTGTTTCTTTAATTGTTCGAAGTACAGTTTTTCTGGATATCGATTTAAAATTTTTCGACTCTTCCACTTTTGGATTATTTTTTTTTATTTTGTTTTATTAAATTTTTAAATTCTCTTTTTCAACTTTACATTTTTTTATTTTTTTAATTTTCAGTATATTCAATTTTAAATTTTTCAGTTCTTTGTGGTTATTTATATTTTTCAGTTTTTAAATTCTTCGATTTTTCAAATGTAAGACTTTTAAATAATTTCGATATTAAAATTTTTCGTTTTTTCCATTTCTTGATATTAATTTTAAGTAACAATTTTTGGTTTTTACAACTTTTCGTCTTCCCGCTTTTTATTTTTTAATTTTTCAAAATTACAGTTTTGCAGTTTTTAAGTTTAAACTAAAATAGATGTTGTGTAGGCAACCCTTGGTACACAACACCGCTACAGTAAGAAAAATGAAAATTTTTATTAGAGGCGAAAATCCCCCGCCCACTCTCTGGCCTGCGCGTCGCCCCAGTCCCCAAGCCTCGCTCATACTCACTTGAAATACTGTTAAAAGTGCGATCGGAAACGTGTTGAAGTTCGTCGGTGGCGTTTCATTCTCGAAGTTGAACTGGCCGCCGAAGAGCTGCATGCCGAGCAGCGCGAAAATCAGAATGAACAAGAAAAGGAGGAATAGTAAGGAAATGATGGACCTCATGGAATTGAGCAGCGAAATGACGAGATTTCTCAGCGAGGACCAGTACTTGGTTACTTTGAAGATGCGCAAGAGTCTTAGGGCTCTGAGCACCGACAGCCCGAACGAGCCCCCTTTCACGGCCGACCAGATCACCTCGAAGATCGAGCCCGTGATCACCACGCAGTCGAAGCGGTTGAACGCCGACTCGAAGTAGATCCGGGGGCCCAACGCGTACATCTTGATGAACATCTCCGACATGAACAGACCCAGAAAAACGTACTCGGCGTAGTCTAAAACACGACTTGTATAGAGGCGAAAATCGCACTCGACACTAAACTTACACAAGAACTTGCTCAGCCAGTCGGGTTGACCGTGGAATTCGACGGCCACGCAAAACGTATTAAAAAAAACCAGCACGATGACGGACCAATAGAACCATTGGGTTTTCACCATGTGGCGAATCCCGAAACGGAAACGCTTCTCGGCCCTCCAGAAACTGGCGCATCCTCCGGGACCCTGCGCTCGGGATTTCATGTACGACGTTCTGCCAAAGCCTGTTAAAAATACTAACTTCAACATGCGACAATGCCGTCAGGGGACTTGGGGGGTTAGAAGCGGCGGACAAATTCCGACCCCTGGGGTTCGTAAAGCGGGGTTTGAGCGACCCCGGCGCGGATTTTGTCCGCCACTGAGGCACGGTCATCGGTCAGACGAAACAATGAGACAAATTCCTACGTTTCAAACTATCTACAGCGACTAGCACCAATCAACGCCACTAGATCACCTAAATACTAAAAAAATCTACTTTTGGGGTCGAGTCCGCTAAAGTCTGCACAATGCTGAGGCGCTTCAGCCAAAAGCTGACCTGTGAAGCTTTTTATCGAATATATTATTATATCAAGTAGATTGAGATAATTTTCTAACGATTGGTTTCTACGTGGAACAAATTTTTCTTTAATATTAATAATACTTAATTAATTAGAAAATTACCTACGGTGTTACGAATCCCTCGTGATGTTAGTTAAACTTACATGATGGCTTGGGTGTTTGTTAAGTAGAACAAAATTTATACACAAATTAAAACGTTGTGGAATGACGTGACTGCAATGATTAAAAAAATGGAAAAGGAGCAACACAGGTCTAAAAGAATTGAAAAGAAGGGTAAACACTTGAAGCGCACTCAAATCTAAGCGGAAAACTAACGAGGTCAACTGCGGTTAATTTTGGATTTTTACGACGTTTCATGATGTCTAGAGTGTGAAAAAGTGGGTCTCCCGTTTCCGTTTGTGTTGGCGGTTTTAGCACTAAAATTTTTGGTTGCCTTAGAAGCTACTAATGTACAGCCGTTAGAAAAAATATGTACAATGATTCAATTTTATTTTGTTCAATTTTTAAAGAACTTGGAAATAAAAAAAAATAAATAAAGTGAAATCTCCTGTTGGATTTTTGAATTTTTAAATGTTCGATTTTTTTCCGATTTTATTTTTTTTTTAATTCCTCAGGTTTTAATTTTTCACTTTTTCAATTTTAGCACTTCTTAATTTCAATTTTTGATTTTTTAATTAATTATTATTTTCAATTTTTCGACTTGCAATTTTTCCAGGTCTTAATTTTTATTTTTTTCAATTTATGGATTTTTAGTTCCCCGATTTTTAATTTTTACATTTTTCGTTTCTTCAATTTTTCCACTTCTTAATTTCATAACTTTTTCAATTTTTTCATATCTGAAAGTAAGTATCAGTGTTATAATTTTTCCAATTTAATTTTCCCATGTCATACATTTTTTCGTTTTTCCCCTATTTCGATTTTTCAATTTTTCGATGTTTCAATGTTGCATATTTTCATTTCCCCAATTTTTCGATTGTTTTTTTTATGTTTTCAGCACTCAATTTTAGATTTTTCGATTTTTGTGATTATTCAATTTTTTGATTGCTTAAATTTTCAGTTTTTGTTTTCACAATTTCCAGCTATTTTAAATTTAATTTTTGAAATTTCGATTTTTATATTTCCTGATTTTTTCAGTTTTTCGTGTCTTCAATTTGACGTCTTTCTAGTTTTGATTTTGAAAATTAACTTTCGACTTACTTTTTTGGATTTAATTTTGAAATTTTGTGAGTTTTTCGAATTTTCAGTTATTCAATTTTTCAAATTTTTAATTTTTCGGACATTATTTTTTAGCTTTTGTATAGGCTTCGATTATTTCACTTTTTCAAATTTTCCAATTTTGTATTTTTGAATTTCAATGTTTCGATTTTCCGATTGAGATTTTTCATTTTCGTGTCTTCAATTTTTCGTTTTGCAGTTTTTCAAGTTCTTAATTTTTAATTTCATTTTCTCAGTTCTTGATTTTTCAATTTCTCCAATTTACTATTTTTCGTGTTTTCAGTTTTCCAATCTCTCAATTATTCCATTTTTTATTTTTTAAATTTTCGATCCTTATTTTGCAATTTTCATGTTTTTACAGTTTCCAGATATTTTAAATTTAATTTTTTAATTTTTCGTTTCATCAATTTTTAGAATTCTTAATTTTATAATTTTGTAATTTTCAGATTTTCTCTACGTTTCATGTGTTACAATTATTCGATTTTTCAATGTTTTGATTTTTGAATTTTTAATTTCAATTTTCCGATTTTTCGGTTTCTCGTGTCTTCAATTTTTCGATTTGAAATATTTCTAGTTTTGATTTTAAAAATTTTAACTTTCCAATTTTTCGATTTAATTTTGAAATTTTGTGATTTCTTTCGAATTTTCAGTTATTCAATTTTTCGAATTTTTAATTTTTCGGACATTATTTTTTAGTTTTTGTCTAGGCTTCGATTATTTCACTGTTTCAAGTTTTCCAATTTTGTTCCATTTTTTTATTTTTTAATTTTTTTCATTTTTTTATTTTTTAAATTTTCGATCCTTATTTTGCAATTTTTGTTTTTACAGTTTCCAGATATTTTAAATTTAATTTTTTAATTTTTCCTTTTATCAATTTTTAGAAATCTTAATTTTATAATTTTGCAATGTTCAGATTTTCTCGATGTTTCATGTGTTACAATTATTCGATTTTTCAATGTTTTGATTTTTGAATTTTTAATTTCAATTTCCCGATTTTTCGGTTTCTCGTTCTTCAATTTTTCAATTTGAAATTTTTTTAGTTTTGATTTTAAAATTTTTAACTTTCCAATGTTTCGATTTAATTTTGAAATTTTGTGATTTTTTCGAATTTTCAGTTATTCAATTTTTCGAATTTTTAATTTTTCGGACATTATTTTTTAGTTTTTGTCTAGGCTTCGGTTATTTCACTTTTTCAAGTTTTCCAATTTTGTATTTTTGAATTTCAATGTTTCGATTTTTCGATTACGATTTTTTATTTTTCGTGTCTTCAATTTTTCGTTTTGCAATTTTTCAAGTTCTCAGTTTTTAATTTCATTTTCTCAGTTCTTGATTTTTCAGTTTCCTCAACTTTTAATTTTTCGTGTTTTCAATTTTTCAATCTCTCAATTAATCCATTTTTTATTTTTTAAATTTTCGATCCTTATTTTGCAATTTTTTGTTTTATCAATTTTTAGAAATCTTAATTTTATAATTTTGCAATTTTCAGATTTTCTCGATGTTTCATGTGTTACAATTATTCCATTTTTCAATGTTTTGATTTTTGAATTTTTAATTTCAATTTCCCGATTTTTCGGTTTTTCGTGTCTTCAATTTTTCAATTTGAAATTGTTCTAGTTTTGATTTTAAAATTTTTAATTTTTCAATTTTACGATTTTTAATTTTGAAATTTTGTGAGTTTTTCGAATTTTTACTTATTCAATTTTTTGATTTTTTAATTTCTCAAGCATTATTTTGATTTTTCAACCAAATTCTAGACAAAAAAAACAAAATAATGATTTTTTTGTCTAGAATTTGGTTGATTCAATTTGTCGTGTTTTCCATTTTTGTAATTTTGAACTGCGAGATTTTCAACATTTCGATTTTTCAATTTTAAAATTTTTCGTTTGAGATTTTTCATTTTTTCGTGTCAATTTTTCGATTTGCAAATTTTTCCTCAGTTTTTGATTTTTCAATTTCTCCAATTTTTCAATTTTTAATTTTGGAATTTTTCGAGTTTCTCGATTTTTTTAATTATCCCATGTTTCGATTTTGATTTTAAATTTTTTGTTTGTGGATGTTTTAATTCCTGACTGTTTCAACTTTTCAGTTTTCAATTTTTAGTTCCCGAATTTATAATTTTTCGTTGTTTAAATGTTTTGATTTACACTGTTTTTAGTTTCCAATTAAAAAAAAAATTATTCCTCGATTTTTCCAACCTTTTAGTTTTTCGACATTTATTTCATGTTTAAAACTGGTGAGAATCCTTGGTATATTTTTTAAAGGATTTAAAAGATTCTTGGGGTCCTGTGATATCCTTTTTTCTTGAGAATTGAAAGGAATCCAGAAGGCTTCGGATGTCTTTTTTCCAAGATTTTAAAAAGACTTTGGGAATTTTTGGTGTCTTTTCCTCAAGAGTTTACGGCGGAAATCCCTGTTATCTGTTTTAGAAAAACTTAAAAGATTCTTGAAGTTCTCTCATGGCTTTTTTAAAAGAATCTTGGGGCACTTGTTGTCTTTCTCAAGAGTTTAAAAAGATCTTATGAATCCTTGGCGTCCTTTTTGAGGAATTTAAAAGAATCTTGCGATTCTCTGGTTTTCTTTTAATAATTTTAAAAGAATCTGAAGGTTCAAAAATTTAAAAATATCTTGGGGATCCCTGGGGTCTTTTTTTCAAGAATTTAAAAGAATCTTAAGAGTTCCTGGTGTCTTTTTTTTTCAAGAATTTTAAAGAATATTGGGAGTCCCTTTCAGGAATTAAAAAAAAATGTTGTCGGCTATTGGTGTCTTTTTCCGAAGTGTTTTAAAAGACCTTGGGAATCCATGGGCTCTTTTTTTAAAGAATTTAAAAGATTCTTGGGATCCTCTGATATAGTTTTTTTCTTAAGAATAGAAAAGAATCCAGAAGGCTCCTGATGTCTTTTTCTCCACAGTTTAAAAAACTTTGGGAAACCTTGTTATCTTAAAAAAAAAAAATAAAAATCTTGGAGTCCTCTCATGTCTTTTTTTAAGAATTTGAAAGAATCTTGAGAGCTCTTGGTGTCTTTCTCAAAAGTTTAAAAAGATCTTATGTCTGCTATTCTTTTTGAGGAATTTAAACGAATCTTGCGATTCTCTGGTCATATTTTTGAGAATTTAAAAGAATCAGAAGGCTCTTCGTGTCTTTTCCTCAAAAGATTAAAAATGAACTTTCAGGAATTAAAAAAACATTGTGCACTCTGGGTGTCTTTTTCTGAAGAGTTTAAAAAGACCCTGGGCTCTTTTCAAGAATTTAAAAAATTCTTGGATCCTCTGATATTCTGTTTTTCTTAAGAATTGAAAAAATCCAGAAGACTCCTGGTGTCTTTTTCTCAAGATTTTAAAAAGATCTTTGGAATCTTAGGTGTCTTTTTCTCAAAAGTTTAAAAATATCTTTGGGGTCCCTGGTGTCTTATTTTTCAAGAATTTTAAAGGATCTGATGAGTCCCTTTCAGGAATTTAAAAAAATGTTGTGCGCTCTTTTTGTCTTTTTCTGAAGAGTTTAAAAAGACCTTGGGACTCCCTTTGATCTTTTTTAAATAATTTAAAAGATTCTTGGGATCCTCTGATATTCTTTTTTCTTAAGAACTGAAAACATCCAGAAGGCTCTTGGTGTCTTTTTCTTAAGATTTTAAAGAGATATTTGGAATCTTTGGTGTCTTTTTCTCAAGAGTTTAAAAAGACTTTGGGAAACCCTGTTATCTTTTTTAAAGGATTCTTGGAGTCCTCTCGTGTCTCTTTTTAAGAATTTGAAAGAATCTTTGGGGCTCTTGGGGTCTTTCTCAAGAGTTTAAAAAGATTGTATGAATCCCTGGTGTTCTTTTTGAGGAATTTAAAAGAATTTTCAGGGCTTCTGGTGCCTTTTTTTCAAAAATTCTTTATTTGAAAGATTTAAAAGAACTTAGGAGGCCTCTGGGATTTCGTAGGAAATGTGTTAGTTATGTTTAAAACCGTACAGTGTTAATAAAAAAAAAAAACAAAATACTAAAGTGTTTATCTTTGAAAAAGTCCCGTGAAAAATCTAGAAAAAAAAGACAAATAATAAACAAACACATGACACCTGATGTTTACCCTTCCAGAGAAAGAAGAACCCGCAGTATAAGCACTACAGAGGTTGTTAGAATCAGCTAAACAAATCAAGTCTAACGATTGTATTTTACACAATTTTCCGTCAGTTTGGCATACCTTTGAAGTTTTTCTTAGACTCTGTAAGAAATACTGTGGATTAAAACAGAATATCAGTACAAGTAAACAGAGAAATTTAATGAAAATGGCTGATGTAAATGACGTTTAATCGTAAACTCGTTAATATAATGCGAAACTCATGCAAGAATCAGTCTCCTAGTAAAAGATCTACCGTACGTTGCCCTATCAAGTCCATTTTTTCTATTTTTGAACTGTCGAGTAGTAAGTTAAAGACTATCTCGCTAGTGTCGAGGTGGTTAATAGAACGTCTCTTACCATCATCACCCACTTCTTCCTCTTGTTCTTCCTCCTCCGTGTCGGTGCTCTTGCTTTTACCCATTTTCTTCAGTTTCTTCTTTTTTGCGGCTCGCCGCCTCGCCTCCATTATGTGCATCTTTTCTTCTTCGGTCGTTCTCTCTTCCGCCAGGATCACTTCCTCTGTAATACAGGAATAGAACGTACGGTTGTACATACGGGAGGTAAAGCCAAGAACTAAGCACCAACCTGCTTTGCATATCCACTGTACATAGCCATTGAGTTCTCTTTCTAGCTGCGCCTGTCTCCGTAACTTTAAAAACTCTTGCCTATTTTCTACTTTTTCTCTTTCTTTGGCAAATTCACTACAGGAGAAAGCGATAATGAATTAATCTAGCATGTCTACATTTGTTTTGTGGGGTCGCACTCACTCTACCAAGCGATATTTTATGATTTAATTCATTTAAGTAGATTAATTAATTTTAATTATTTAGTTTTGACGCATTTTTTTTTTGTTTGGAATGAAAATAAAGTCGCAGGTAGAACTTGGTGACAAATTGGGGCAAACAAAATTTAGTATAATTATCAAAATAAAACAAACAAAATAAGTACACTTTGTCAAAAAAAAGAACAAACATCGTTTACTATTAAAAATAATTACTTTCCTTTTCATTTGTTATGAAATAAAACCAGTGTATTAATATTGATTTAATTTTTCAATTTCTCGATGTTTCAGTTTTTAGTTCCCTCAGTTTTGCATTTTATGACGATATAATTTTTCAAGGCTTCGATTTTCGAGTTTTCGTTTTGTAATTTTTTGTTTTCGGAATTTTAAATATTTTATTTTATCAATTCTCCAATTTTTTGATTTTTGATTATTAATTTGTCAATTTTATAATTTTTCAAATTTTAGATAATTAATTTTCGTTTTCTTAATTTTTTCAGTTTTTCGATTTGCAGTTTTTCTAGTTCAATTTTAAATTTTTGGATTGTTCGATTTATGAATTTTTCAATTTTTCAATTCTTTAATTCTCAATTTTTCGGTTTGCAATTTTTCAATTTTTAGAGTTGAATTTTTGGATTTTTTGATTTTTAAATTTTTAAAATTTTTCAATTATCGAATTTCTCGATCATTAATTTTTCAATGTTTGGGTGTTTTTTCAATGTTCCATTTTCAGAATTTTTCGATTTTTCAGTTTGAATTTTTGCTTTGCAATTTATATATTGAGAGAATTTCAAAAACCGAAATGTAAGACTTTTCAAGTTCTCGGTTTTTAATTTTCCAATTTTTTTCTCTTTGGTTTTCAGATTTTTCAAATTTTCGTTTCTTCAATATTTTGATTTTTAGTTTCTCGGTCCTTATTTTTTGTTTTATTCAATTTTTTGATTTTAAAATATTTCATTTTTTTTTAATTTCAGTGATTTTAATTTTTTGTTTTTCTAATTTTTTTGACTTTTCAATAGAGGTTTTTCGTTTCTCGATCTTTAATTTTTAAATTTTTGAATTTTTGACTTTCGATTTACAATTATTCTAGTTTTCAATGTTAAATTTCTCGATTTTTTGATTTTTTTAATTTGGAACTTTTAAATTTCTCGATTTTTCAGTCTTCAAATTTTTCATTTTTTCGTTTCTTTCAATATAAAAGTTTGAAATTTTCTAATTGTCTGATTTTTCTTGAATAATTTAATTTTTTAATTCAATTTAAAATTCTTAGTTTTCGATATTACAATTTTTGCACTTTTTTATTATTTTTTTAATTCTTTGATTTTTACTTTCTCAATTTTCTTCGGTTTATTCAATTTTTCAATTTATAGATGTTTAATTTTTTCAGTTTTTCGATTAGCAATTTCTATTCGATTTTTTGATTTTTGGATTGTTCGATTTTAAAATTTTCCATTTTGTCAATTTTTAAACATTTAAATTTTTCGTTTCTTTACCGTTTTCCACTTTTCATTTTCTCAATATTTAATTTTTTGATTTTTTAATTTGTGATTTTTTGAATTAAAATCGTTTTAGTTTTCAATCCTAAATTATTGGATTTTTGATTTGTTTAATTTTGGAATTTTTAAATTTGTCGATTTTTCATCTTCAAATTTTTCATTTTTTCATTTCTTTCATTATAAAAGTTTTCAATTTTTCCAACATAAAATTTATTAATTTTTTGATTTTTCAGTTTCCCGATTTTTGATTTTTGAATTCTTTGATTTTTAGTTCGTAGACTATTAATTTCCAGATTTTTCTATTTTTCATTTCTTCAATAATTTAATTTTTCAAATTAATTTACAATTATTAGTTTTCGATATGAAATTTTTTTTTATTTTCTCATTTTTCTGTGATTTATTCAGTTTATCAATTTTTTGATGTTTAGATTTTTCAGTTTTTTTTTCCATTTGCAATTTTTCTAGTTTTTATTCTTAAATTTTTTGCTTTTACAGTTTTTCGATTAATTTTTGTTTTTTTTTCAGTTTTATTCTCATTTTTTGATTTTTTAAACTTGGATTTTTAATTTGCAATTTTTCTAGTTTTCAATTTCCAGTTTCTGGATTTTTCGATTTTTTAATTTTGGAATTTTTCAATTTTTCGATTTTTCAATTTCCTGATTTTTGATTTCTTGATTGTTAGTTTATCGGTTTTCTTTGATTTATTCAATTTTTCAATTTTTAGATGTTTAAAATTTTAAGTTCTTTCAATTTGCAATTTTTCTTGTTTTCAATCTTTGGGTTTTTAATTTTTCGTTTTGCAGTTTTAATCTCATTTTTTGATTTTATAAATGTGGATTTTTATTTTCCAAGGTTTCTAGTTAATCAATTTTTATGTTTTTCATTTTATGGGTTTTGAATTTTCAATTTATCTGACTTTTAATTTCATTTTTTCAATATTCGAGATTTTTGAATTCTTTCAATTTTGGTTTCTCGATTTTTTATTTTTCGTTTTTTTCAATATTTTGATTTTTTAATTTAATTTACAATTTTAAGTTTTCGGTATTAGATACAGTTTTTCATTTTTTTGATAATATTTTTATTTTTTCAAATCTTTGATTTTTCAATTTTGAGATTTTTAATTATGTTTTTGATTTTTCAATTTTGATTTCTTCGATTTTTCAATTTCTCGATTTTGAATGTTCAATTTCAAAACCATTAATTTAATTTTTTGTTTTTTAAATTTTCGATTTTTATTTAGCAAATTTTTCAATTTTCAATTTCAAATGTTTGGATTTTTCGATTTTTAATTTCGGAAATTTTCCATTTTTCGGTTTTTCAATTTTTCGATTTTTAATTTTCTGATTTTCCCATTTTCATTCATTTTTTAATGTAAATTACAACTTTAAGTTTTCGATACTGATATCAATTTTAAGTATGTTTTTTCAATTGTTTGATTTTTCAATTTTGAGATTTTTAATTATTTGATTTTTCAATTTTTGATTTCTTCAATTAGTTTATAGTTTTCAATCATAAATTTTGGATTTTTCGAGTTTTCAGTCTGTAAGTTTTCAGTTTTTCGTTTCTTTCAATATAAAATTTTTCAAGTTTGGGATTGTTAATTTATCGTTTTTTTTTCAGTTTTAATCTCATTTTTTGGTTTTTTAAATATCCGATTTTTTTTGCAATTTTTCGAGTTCACAATTTTAAATTTTTGGATATTTCGGTTTTTAAGTTTGGAGTTTTTCAATTTTTCTTGGTTTCTTAATTTTTCAAATTTTCTAATTTTTAATCTCATTTTTTGATTTTTTTGAATGCTCGATTTTTTGCAATTTTAAAATTTCCAATTTTCTTGCTTTTTGAATTTTTCCATTAGTTTTTGCATTTTTTTAACTTTTCAATTATGTAAAATCTAGGTATTTACAAATTTTTTAATTTTGAGTTTTAAATTTTTCAATCTTTGATTTTTTAATTCTTAGATTTTTTTTTTATTTTTTTAGTTTTGAATTTAAAATTTTAGAATTTTCCGATTTTCGAATTATTCCATTTTTCGATTTTTTGGTATTCGGAATTTTGTTTTGCGATTTTTCAATTCTAAATTTTTCAATTTTCTTGATTTTTCGATTTCTCTAGGTTTCAAGTTAAAATTTTTCGGTTTTCAGATTTTTGAATTTTTCACTTGTTTATTTTTTTCATTTCTTCAAATGTACGATTCTGCATTTTTTATTTATTGTGAGATTTTTTTTTAATTTTTCAAATTTTGTCTGTTTTAGTTTTTCAATTTTTTGACTTTTCAATTGTGATATTTTTTTCAACATTTCTATTTTACAATTTTTCGTTACTTCAGTTTTTTATTTTCCAATTTTTTATTTTTTAGATTATTGAATTTTTTCTTTCTTCAATTTTTCTTTTTGGAATTTTTCTAGTTTTCAATGTTGAATTTTTCGTTTTTTTAAACTTCGAATTTTGGAATGTTTGGATTTTTAAAATAATCTTTCCTTCAGTTTTATGATTTTGCAATTTTTTTGTTCCTCGTTTCTTTGATGACATAATTTGCTACATTTTAATTTTTAATTTATGTATTAGATTTTTTCATTTTCCAATCTTTTCATTTTTTTATTTTGAGTTTTAAATTTTTCAGTTATTGATTTTTCAATCCCTGGATTTTTCAATAATTGTTTTAATTTTCAATTTAAAATTTTAGAACTTCTGTATTTTTGATTTTTCAACTTTTCGATTTTTAATTTTTCGATTTTTTAGTTTTCGGAATTTTATTTCCCGATTTTTCAATTCCAAATTCTTCAATTTTCTTGATTCTTCGGTTTCTCTAGGTTTCAATTAAAATTTTTCGGTTTTCAGATTTTTCAACTTTTGAAATTTTCACTTTAGATTTTTTTTTCACATTTTCAGTTGTACGGTTCTGCATTTTTTTATTTATTGTGTGATTTTTCAGTTTTTGATTTCTCAAGTTCTAGATTTTTCAAATTTTGTATGTTTGAATTTTTCCGATTTTTCAATTTTTCCGTTTTTCAAGTTTTGAGATTTTTTGCTCCTCGATTATTCAATTTTTCGTTCTGCAAATTTTTCTATTTTTCAATGTAAAATTTTTCGCTCTTCTTAACATTTGAATTTTGGAATTTTTGAATTTTTAAAATTTTCTTTTATTCAATCATGATTTTGCAATTTTTTCATTTTCTAATTTTTCAATTTTTGAATTCTGCGACTTTTCAATTTCCCGATCTTTAATTTTTCAATTATTCCATTTTTCGATTTTTGAGATTTCTTGCTTCTCAATTATTCAGTTTTCAATTTAAAATTTTATAACTTAACGATTTTTGATTTTTCAACTTCTCGATTTTTAATTTTTCGATTTTTTAGTTTTCGGAATTTTATTTTCCGATTTTTCAATTCCAAATTCTTCAATTTTCTTGATTCTTCGGTTTCTCTAGGTTTCAATTAAAATTTTTCGGTTTTCATATTTTTCAACTTTTGAAATTTTCACTTTAGATTTTTTTTTCACTTTTTCAGTTGTACGGTTCTGCATTTTTTTATTTAATGTGTGATTTTTCAGTTTTTGATTTCTCAAGTTCTAGATTTTTCAAATTTTGTATGTTTGAATTTTTCCGATTTTTCAATTTTTCCATTTTTCAAGTTTTGAGATTTTTTACTCCTCGATTATTCAATTTTTCGTTTCTGCAAATTTTTCTATTTTTCAATGTAAAATTTTTCGCTCTTCTTAACATTTGAATTTTGGAATTTTCGGATTTTTAAAATTTTGTTTTATTCGATCATGATTTTGCAATTTTTTCATTTTCTAATTTTTCGATTTTTGAATTGACTTTTCAATTTCCCGATCTTTAATTTTTCAATTATTCCATTTTTCGATTTTTGAGATTTCTTGCTTCTCAATTATTCAATTTTCTTTTGGCAATTTTTCTAGTTTTCAATGTTAAATTTTTCGTTTTTTTCAACCTTTGAATTTTGAGATTTCTGGATTTTTAAAATTGTCTTTCCTTCAATTTTATGGTTTTAACAATTTTTGGATTTCTGAATTGTGCGACATTTCAATTTCTCGATTTTTAATTTTTCAATTGTAAGATTTTTCTATTTTACAATTTTTCGTTATTTCAATTTTTTTGGAATTTAGATTTTTCAATAATTTTTTTAGTTTTCAATTTAAAATTTTATAACTTCCCGATTTTTGATTTTTCAACTTCTCGATTTTTAATTTTTCGATTTTTCCGATTTTCGAAATATTTCATTTTTCGATTTTTGAGTTTTCGGAATTTTATTTTACGATTTTTCAATTCCAAATTCTTCAATTATCTTGATTCTTCGGTTTCTCTAGGTTTCAACTAAAATTTTTCGGTTTTCAGATTTTTCAACTTTTGAAATTTTAACTTTAGATTTTTTTTTCATTTTTTCAATTGTACCGTTCTGCATTTTTTTATTTATTGTGAGATTTTTCAGTTTTTGATTTCTCAAGTTCTAGATTTTTCAAATTTTGTATGTATGAATTTTTCCGATTTTTCAATTATTCCATTTTTCAAGTTTTGAGATTTTTTGCGCCTCGATTATTCAATTTTTCGTTTCTGCAATTTTTCTATTTTTCAATGTAAAATTTTTCGTTCTTCTTAACATTTGAATTTTGGGATTATTGGATTTTTAAAATTTTCTTTTATTCAATCATGATTTTGCAATTTTTTCATTTTCTAATTTTTAGATTTTGAATTCTGCGACTTTTCAATCCCTCGATTTTTAATTTTTCAATTATTCCATTTTTCGATTGTTGAGATTTCTTGCTTCTCAATTATTCAATTTTCTTTTGGCAATTTTTGTAGTTTTCAATGTTAAATTTTTCGTTTTTTTCAATCTTTGAATTTTGAGATTTTTGGATTTTTAAAATTGTCTTTCCTTCAGGTTTATGGTTTTAACAATTTTTGGATTTTTGAATTGTGCGATTTTTCAATTTCTCGATTTTTAATTTTTCAATTGTAAGATTTTTCTATTTTACAATTTTTCGTTATTTCAATTTTTTTGGATTTCTTCTAGTTTTCAGTGTTGAATTTTTCGTTCTTTTAAACTTCGAATTTTGGAATTTTTGGATTTTCAAAATAATTTTTCCTTCAGTTTTATAATTTTGCAATTTTTTTGTTCCTCGTTTCTTCGATGACATAATTTGCTACTTTTTAATTTTTAATTTATGTATTAGATTTTTTCATTTTCCAATTTTTTCATTTTCCAATTTTTTCATTTTTTTATTTTGAGTTTTAAATGTTTCAGTTTTTGAATTTTCAATCCTTAAATTTTTCAATAATTTTTTTAATTTTCTATTTAAAATTTTAGAACTTCTGGATTTTTGATTTTTCAACTTCTCGATTTTTAATTTTTCCATTTTTCCGATTTTCGAAATATTTCATTTTTCGATTTTTTAGTTTTCGAAATTTTATTGTGCGATTTTGCAATTCCAAATTCTTCAATTTTCTTGATTCTTCGGTTTCTCTAGGTTTCAATTAAAATTTTTCGGTTTTCAGATTTTTCAACTTTTGAAATTTTCACTTTAGACTTTTTTCACTTTTTCAGTTGTACGGTTCTGCATTTTTTCAATTTCCCGATCTTTAATTTTTCAATTATTCCATTTTTCAATTTTTGAAATTTTTTTCTAGATTTTTCAAATTTTGTCTGTTTTTAATTTTTCAATTTTTTGACTTTCAATTGTGAGATTTTTTCAACATTTCTATTTTACAATTTTTCGTTATTTCAGCTTTTTATTTTCCAATTTTTTATTTTTTAGACTATTGAATTTTTCATTTCTTCAATTTTTCCTTTTGAAATTTTTCCTTTTTTTTAAACTTCAAATTTTGAAATTTTTAGATTCTCGAAATATTTCATTTTTCGATTTTTGTGTTTTCGGAATTTAATTTTACGATTTTTCAATTCCAAATTCTTCAATTTTCTTGATTCTTCGGTTTCTCTAGGTTTCAACTAAAATTTTTCGGTTTTCAGATTTTTCAACTTGTGAAATTTTCACTTTACATTTTTTTTTTCACTTTTTCAATTTTGAGATTTTTAATTATTTGATTTCTTCAATTAGTTTATAGTTTTCAATCCTAAATTTTTGGATTTTTCGATTCAATCTTCAATCTTCAAGTTTTCAGTTTTTCGTTTCTTTCAATATAAAATTTTTCAAGTTTGGGATTATTAATTTTTCGATTTTTTTTCAGTTTTAATCTCATTTTTTCAATTTTAAATTTTTGGATTTTTCGATTTATTAATTTAGTAATGTTTATTTTTTAGTTTTTTCAAATTTTTGTTTCTTTAATTTTTTTGGTTCCAAATTTTTCAATTTTACAATTTTGCCATTTTCGTTTTCTTTGAAATTTTTTTATTTTTTCATTTTTGAATTTTTCAATTTAAAGTTTTCTCATTTTTCAAGCTCTAAATTTAAAGTGACCAAGTTCAGCCTGCGACTTAAGCCCACCTAGCGCCAAAATTACAAAATCATAGCTTAATAAACCTGCTTGCGTAATCCACTGAAGATACCGTCCGAAACTTTCCACGAACAAATTCTTAGACCTCGTTCGATAAAACTTGGCCCTCCGTTCAACCCTCAACCTCTCGTTAGAAAACTCGCTAAGACACCCTTAATTCACTCAAATCATCACAACCACAAAATTCTTACCCGCTAAGTACACCGAGAACCAGATTCAACATGAAAAACGAACCCAACACGATTAACGGAACGAAATACATCCAATTGAAGGTGCTCCCGACGGCGTCGTTCATCTGAAGACCAAAGAAAAAAATTAGTATGAAGGCGGTACTTAAAACTAGAACATACCCAGTACAAGATCGCCGTCCACCCTTCCATGGTGATGCACTGGAACACCGTGAGCATGGCGAACCCGATGTTGTCGAACGACGTGATCCCGTTGTTCGGCCCCTCCCACCTCTCCAGACAGACCGAGTTGCCGTCCCGGCACCAGTTGCTCCCCTGGGACCTCGCCTGCGTCTCGTTGTCCGTGTTGCATGGCACTTCGGCGTCCCCCTCCTTCGCGATCTCATCTGAAACGCGATTGGTGATAGTGCGGCTCTTGGTCGCCGAACATCCACGCACCTATGTCGTAGAGGCTGTAGCAGGTCCGGTGCAGCGCCCCCGAGTAGAACTCCAGGCCGATGATCGCGAAGATGACGATGGCGAAGAGCACCAGCAGCCCGATCTGGAGCAGCGGCGCCATGGCCTTGATGATCGACTTGAGCACGACCTGCAGGCCTGCCACACACACAAGCATCAGTACCCGGCTCGACTCGACTCGGCTGCGTGTGTTGGAAGTGTCGTTTGTCGCCAAATCAAACGTATAGAGAAGGAATAGACAGAAGAAGCGCCAGATCTTAAGCACTAAGTTCGACTACGCTGCATCACCTATGCGACAGTCTACAGGGCTCAGGAGCGGCGGGAGCGGAGGGGGGCGGGGCGCGGCCGCGCCCCGCCTCCCTCCGCCCCCTCCCGAAGAGTCTGCGGAAGACGTCTACGTTTCATCTACTTACTAGGGATGCCAGAGACTAGCTTGAGAGGTCTTAGCACTCGAATAGCCCGCAACGTGCGCAGATCCACTGTTACGAAATCTTGAAGGAACAACGTCAGACACCTGCAAAACACTAGCCTCTAGCCATTCATCTACTTCAAAATACGACTATGCTATGTACTATGTGTTAAATACGAGTACACTAAATGTAAACGTACTAAAACTGATGCGACCTGAAAACAAAACAACACCACACAGCAAAATCAGGAAAAAATCGACTGACCAGCGATCGGTTTGCTCTGGCCGGTTACTGTTTTTGCGGGACGTCGGCGGAATGTACTGATGTGTGTAATCAAAATCCAGTCCGCTACAGACACGATAAACAATGCTCGAAACTAACACATTCAAGGTCAGGTAGTATAACAGACATTTACATTCATTAGTAGAAATTTCGAGGTCGCTGGACTTCATCTGCAAGAATTACGGAGCGAGGGGCGTTTTCGGGCGCGACGGACCGCTGGAGGGGCGGGGTCGGGAAGAGCAGGCTTGGTACGGGGGGCGGGGCGCGCACGAGCGGAGACCAATGGGGCGGGGCAAGAGGCGGCTGCTTAAAACTGGCGAATGGGAATGCCGTTGCTTTGGTGGCGCCGATTTTTGAATTTTTAAGGGCTAGAAAGTTTTACACTTTGGCGTTTCTAGATTTTTTGATCTTTATTTTTCGTATCATCAGTCCTTTCCATTTGCAACTTTTCTAATTTTCAAATGAAAATTTTTATGTTTCTCGACGTTTTAATTTCAAAATTTTTTCTTCTTTTTACTTCTAAAATTTTACGTGACATTTTTTTGATGTTTCTATTTTAGGATTTCCTACATTTTTCATTTTTCGGTTTTTCAGTTTCGAATTTGTTTTTCAATTATTTTATTTGTCGATTTTTCAGTTTTTCAACATTTTTTTTTGCGATTTTTCATTTCAATTTTCCAATTTTCAATTTTTTGATTTCACGATAATCACATTTTTTAATTTTCAACTTCTCAAATTCTGGATGTTTGTTTTTCAGTTTTTCAATTTTCGATTTTTCAATATCAAGATTTTCAGTTTGAACTTTTTTTCGTTTCATCACTCAATTCAATTTTCCATTTGCAACTTTTGTTCATTTTCAAACCAATTTTTTTTAATTTTCCGATTTCCCAATTTTCAACTTTTCGATTTTTCAAATTTTTCAATTATTCCATTTTTCAATTTTAAATTTCTCGATTTTGCGATGTTTTAATTTTTTTAATTTTTCGATGTTTTAAATTTTCGTTTCACGATTTAGCAGTTTTTCGAATTGTTAATTAATAGTTGCTTAATTTTTCAATTTTTCGACTTATGAATGTCTCGATTAATTTCTCAGTTTCTCAATGTTTTAATTTCAAAAAGTGTATTTTTTTTACTTCTAAAATTTCACGTGTTTCTTTTAATTTTCGAATCTTAGTTTTTGAATTTTTCGTTGTTTCAACGTTACATTTCATCGATTTTTCAATTTTCAAATTTATCAATTTTAAATTTTTTGACTTTCCAGTTTTTGATTTTTGAATTTCTTGATTTTTCAGTTTTTCGATTTTTAATTTCCCGTTTCTGAATGTTACAATTTTGCAATTTTTTTATTTTTCAATTATTACTAGATTTTTAATTTTCCAATTTTTCAATTTTGCAATGTTTGAACGTTTTTTTTTATGATTTTCTAATTTCCAAAATTTTCAATTTTTCAATTTTCCAGTTTTTGATTTTTCAAACTGTAGATTTCTCAATTTTTAGATTTTTCTATTTTTCTTATCAATTTGACTTTTTATTTTTCCATATTTCAGCTTTTGCATTTTATTTTAGCGAATTTTCATTTCTCCATTATCCAAATTTCTTCCTTTTTGAATTTTTCCATTATTTTTTGGTTTCCAATTTAAAATTTTTCAGTTTTCCAATTTTTACTTATTAATTTTTCCATTTCGGATTTTTTTATTTTTCGTTTCTTCAATTTTACGATTTCGTTAGATTTTGATTTTTCAATTAGGTTTTTGTGTTTTCGGTTTTCAAAATTTTTCAATTCCGAGATTTTTCAATTTTTTAAGTTCCCAGTTTTTGATTTTTCAATTTCTTAATTTCTCATTTTTCTTATCGATTCGAATTTTAATTTTTCCATATTTCAATTTTTGGATTTTATTTTATCGAATTTTCAATTCTACATTATACAATTTTCTTGCTTCTTGAATTTTTTCATTTGCAGGTTTTCTAGTTTTCCAATTCAAAATTTTTCAATTTTTTAATTTCTCGTTTTTTCAGTATTATAATTTTACCACATCTTGATTTTTCAATTATGTATTCGATTTTTGATTTTCAATTTCCAAAATTTTTGAATTCTAATATTTTTCAATTTTTAAGTTCCCAATTGTTGATTTAGCAATTTTTTAATTTCTGATTTCTTCAATATTATAATTTTGCAAAATTTTTAATTTTCTAATTTTTCCATTTTCTATTTTGCGATGGTTTAACGTTGATTTTTTAATTTCCGAAAGTTTCGATTTCTCAATTTTTCAGTTTTTGGTTTTTCAATTTTTCCTCTCAATTTTTCAATATTTCAGTTTTTGGATTTTATTTCAATTCTCTATTATTCAATTTTTTTGCTTCTTTAGTTTTTCCATTTTTAATTTTCTTTTTAATTCTTCTATTTCCGATTTTTAATTTTTAGTTTCTTCAGTTTTAGGATTTAGCTATATTTTGATTTTTTAAATATTAAATTTGTGGTTTTTCTTGATTTTTCGGTTCCTCTAGGTTTCAAGTTAAAATTTTTGGGTTTTCAGACTTTTCAACTTTTGAATTTTTCACTTATCTATTTTTTTTTCATTTCTTCAAATGTACCATTCTGCATTTTTTTTTATTTATTGTGAGATTTTTTCTAGATTTTTCAAATTTTGTCTGTTTTTCGTTATTTCAGTTTTTTATTTTCTAATTTTTTATTTTTTTGATTAATGAATTTTTCCTTTCTTTAATTTTTTTTGGAATTTTTCTAGTTTTCAATGTTGAATTTTTCGTTTTTTTTAAACTTCCATTTTTGGAATTTTTGGATTTTTAAAATAATCTTTCCTTCAGTTTTATGATTTTGCAATTTTTAGTTTCTCGTTTCTTCAATGCTATAATTTGCTACTTTTTAATTTTTAATTTATGTATTAGATTTTTTCATTTTCCAATTTTTTCATTTTTTTATTTTGAGTTTTAAATTTTTCAGTTTTTGATTTTTCAATCCCTGGATTTTTCAATAATTTTTTTAGTTTTCAATCTAAAATTTTAAAACTTTTGGATTTTTGATTTTTCAACTTCTCGATTTTTAATTTTTCGATTCTTCCGATTTTCGAAATATTTCATTTTTCGATTTTTTAGTTTTCGGAATTTTATTTTGCGATTTTTCAATCCCAAATTCTTCAATTCTCTTGATTCTTCGGGTTCTCTCGGTTTCAATTAAATTTTTTCGGTTTTCAGATTTTTCAACTTTTGAAATTTTCACTTTCGATGTTTTTTCATTTTTTCAATTGTACGGTTCTGCATTTTTATTTATTGTGAGATTTTTCAGTTCTTGATTTCACAAGTTCTAGATTTTTCAAATTTTGTATGTTTGAATTTTTCCGATTTTTCAATTATTCCATTTTTCAAGTTTTGAGATTTCTTCCGTCTCAATTATTCAATTTTCTTTTGGCAATTTTTCTAGTTTTCAATGTTAAATTTTTCGTTTTTTTCAACCTTTGAACTTTGATATTTTTGGATTTTTAAAATTGTCTTAATTAATTTTTCAATTTTTCGACTTATGAATGTCTCAGTTTCTCAATGTTTTAATTTCAAAAATTTTCTTTTTTTTACTTCTAAAATTTTACGTGAATTTATCAATCAATTTTCGATTTTTTGACTTTCCAGTTTTTGATTTTTGAATTTCTAGATTTTTCAATTTTTCGATTTTTAATTTCTCGTTTCTGAATTTTACAATTTTGCAATTTTTTTATTTTTCAATTATTACTAGATTTTTAATTTTCCAATTTTTCAATTTTGCAATGTTTGAACGTTGCACTTTTTTGATTTTTTAATTTCCAAAATTTTCTGTTTTTGATTTTTCAATTTATAGATTTCTCAGTTTTTAGATTTTTCAATTTTTCTTATCAATTTGATTTTCAATTTTTCAACATTTCAGTGTTTGGATTTTATTTTAGCGAACTTTCATTTCTTCATTATTCAGTTTTCTTGCTTTTTGAATTTTTCCATTATTTTTTGCATTTTTTTAATTTTTCAATTATGTATTAGATTTTTAATTTTCCAATTTTTTAATTTTTTGATTTTGAGTTTTAAATTTTTCAATCTTTGACTTTTTAATTATTAGATTTTTTTATAATTTTTTTAGTTTTGAATATAAAATTTTAGAATTTTCCGATTTTCGATTTTTTAGTTTTCGGAATTTTATTTTGCGATTTTTCAATTCTACATTTTTCAATTTTTCTTGATTTTTCGGTTTCTCTAGGTTTCAAGTTAAAATGTTTCGGTTTTCAGATTTTTCAACTTTTGAAGTTTTCACTTTTCTATTTTTTTTTCATTTTTTCAAATGTACGATTTTGCAATTTTTTTATTTATTGTGAGATTATTTTCTAGATTTTTCAAATTTTGTCTGTTTCAATTTTTTTCTTATTATCAGTTCTTCCTTTTTCATTTCTCGATTTTTAATTTTTCATTTTTTTGAATTTTCATTTGTGAGATTTTTTTCAACATTTCTATTTTACAATTTTTCGTTATTTCAGCTTTTTATTTTCCAATTTTTTATTTTTTAGGTTATTGAATTTTTCTTTTTGGAATTTTTCTAGTTTTCAATGTTGAATTTTTCGTTTTTTTCAACCTTTGAATTTTGAAATTTTTGGATTGTGAAAATAATCTTTCCTTCAGTTTTACGATTTTGCAATTTTTTTGTTCCTCGTTTCTTCGATGACATAATTTGCTACTTTTTAATTTTTAATTTATGTATTAGATTTTTTTATTTTCCAATTTTTTCATTTTTTTATTTTGAGTTTTAAATGTTTCAGTTTTTGAATTTTCAATCCTTAGATTTTTCAATAAT